TTCATTCGTTATTTCGTTATTTCGTCATTTCGTCATTTAAATTCTATTATGTAAACTTCATTAAATTATTAGTAATTGTATATTTTGTGATATTGGTATTTTTATATAAACAACAAAAATCAATTACGGAGTTATTTATTTATTTATTTATAGCATTGTGATACAAATATAAATTATCATAAACGCTACAGTACATACCGACATGTACCGACAGTGTACTGTGGCAAGTCGTGCCATCTATCGGAAATTTCCAATTTACCTTTTAGTTCCAAAAAAAAAATCAGACTGGCTTAGAGGGCAGCAGCGTCGGTAGACAAGGAGCGCGACAGTGTGCAACAAGGACAAATATACATTCCGTGACCGACAAGGAGGGCACTAGTGTGCGACAAGGACAGCAATATTCGTTTCACCATTTCGAAATTTTTGAAATTTTTCCTTTGTTTATAAATTCTTTTTTTTATTTACATTTTTTGCCCTTTGTTTATTTACATTTTGGTTTGTTTACTGTTTATTGAAAAATTGCAAATAAACAATAGAATTTGCAAACAGAAGAAAAATTTTGAAAAATTTTGGTTTGTTAACATTCAAAAATGTAAATAAACGAAATGTAAAAGATGTAATTAAACGGAGAGCAAAATATGTAAATAAATAAAGAGCAACAAATGCAAACGAAGAAATGTGTTGAGAAATAAAGTTTTTCGTTGAAGGATCGGGTTGGTTGGTTTAATGATTAGACGACTAATTAATTTTAACGGAATATTTATTGAAATCATCCAGTTGTACATGAATTATAATGATTTTGGATTAAATTGCAATATTTTCCATCTCTTCTTCTTCTTCTTCTCTTTTTCTTTAATGTCTCATCGACAGCGAGATCATTAACGATGAGTAGTAGTAGTAGTAGTTTATATCATTGAGATATTTCAATACTCTTTGTACGTCATTTTGGGAAGTCAAGTTTATGTTTGCGTTAATTCCGTGTTTCTGTCTTTGGGCTTCTGTTAAATTATAAATTAATTTACAACTTATAGAAATTACAATGAGAAATGTGAAAATACATATAATAGAGTACATATGACACGCATAAGTATCTAAAATATCCAAGCACGGCGCTTTACATAAGTTTAAAATTCATTATATAAAATGATGAAAAATTTGCTTAAACACCCTCAATGGAATTATAACTATGACTCTCTTTTATATGTACGTACCGCTGTTGCAAGGCACACTTTATAAGTTTATCGATAAAACAACACGCACGTATCGAATGAACGTGAACTTATCTTCTTTGTGTATGCCGATAGTAAGTATTCAAACAAAATTGAGCGACAGCGTTTGTAAAATTATAATGTGATCTTGTTTCCATTGAATTAATGTTACAACTGATTAATCAAGAAAATCAGAGATGCATGCATACAGTAGAAGAGTTTCGCTTCGCGAATCGTTTATTGAAATAATAGCGAGGAAGTCATTGATTCCAAGGAGGGTAAGTATTATATATATTACATTATACAAGTATTTATATTATAATACAATACATGTGTATGTGTCTTATTGCATTATCTTTGCAATAAATTAATCCTTTTTTTAATCTCCAAATAGGTACAGGTATCCTCTACCAAAGTACAAATAAATATTCTAGATATTTCTGAAAATCTTACACTTACATATGTATTCTTACATCTATCCTTCAATAAACTAACTTAATAATAAATAAATAATAACTTTTGTAATATCACGTATATCTGGGCATAGAGGACAGTATATTATAATAGACAATTTTTGACGACAACGATCATCATGGTGCAGGTCAATAGGTTAAAAGGAATCTATCTTTTCCGGGCTGCAGTGAGACTCGTCTTGGAATACATCGAGTGGTTAACCGAAGAGCCCGTTGTGGAAAAAGTCGGCGACGATATTGCGATTAACATCCGGAGGGCGCAGCAGAAAAAAATCGAGAAGAAAGCTCTCACCCTGGAGGTCTGAAAAATAATTAACATTCGTTATTATTTTTAGTTGAACAGTTAATAATCGATCTTCTCTTCTAGTAAGGGAAATATGATAAAAGTTACTATTTATTCTGAATTAGCAATTTTACAAAATAAAACATTTTCTATCTAAGGATCGCTCTTATTTATTAACGAGGCCGGAAGATCGATCGGCGGATGACAGGAAATATATATACGAGCTGTTTAACAAGTTTCGAATATTCAAAAAGTATCCCGAACGTTTGAGAGAAATTTTAGCGGGAGTGTGCTTTTATCAGTACTTGAGAGCCGGCCGCGTAATCGTGCGACAGGGTCACAAAGCTGAGAATCTTTACTTCATAATAAACGGAGAAGTCAGCGTGTCGAAAGTAGTTACCGATCGCTGGACCGGTACGTAAAAGAAATCTATTTTTCGAATTTCGCGAGTGAGAAACGAACTTCTCTTTTTTCTCTTTTTTTTATTCGTACCTGCTAGGTGAAGCAGAAGAGGTTGATATGGGTAGCTTGAATCCTGGTGATGTGTTCGGCGAGGTCGCGTTGCTGCATGAAATACCAAGGTCAGCAACGGTAGTTACAAAAAGTATGTGAAATTATTCCATTCTTCTTCTTCTTCTTCTTCTTCTTCTTCTTCCTCTTCCTCCTCTTCCCGTGAAAGATCGCGTATACTCAACTCGGTTTGCAGCCACCGTAGATTTGATCCTCGTTCCCCGCCACGACTTCGATGATATTTTGCGGTCATCTTTAAAAAAAGAATGGGACAAGTTACAGGATGCGCTGGTACACTTCAATTACTTTAAATCCTGGGACGACGCAACAATACGGGAATGTTGTATTCTCAGTAAATTGAAAGATTTTCAACACGACGAGGTACATATACATAATAGACGCTTGCGACAGTCTTCTTTAACGAGTATATCTTCTTTAACGCCAAAGAAAGCGGAAGAATAAATAAATGGAATGACAAAGTAAATATTTAAGGTTTTGTTAGGTGACGGCAAGGGACTGGTGAATTACGTGCATTTTCTGTTGGAAGGTGAATGTCGTTTGATAGAGCACATGATCGTGCGTGAAACACATTCTGCATCTGGGACGCGATACGAACTGTACGATCCTGAAAAGAGTAACGGGAAGAGGGAAGAAAGACTGTCGGAGAGCGTAGAAACCGCTGCGAAAATGGACGAGTTTGAATACGAGTACGAAACTAGCAAAGTACGAGACTGATACTTCTGATATTATTAATGGAGAATTAATCCTAGTAATTCCTATTGCATTTGAATTGCATCGTGTCGTACAATTTTAAAGGCAAACGACGTAGACGAGAGTATCGCCGGAAATCGAGATTTCATCAATTACGCCCAACTTTTACTATCGTCGAAAGCAGCCGACAGGAAAATGGATTTCGAACGTTCGAGCATCATTACGACCACGCTGTTGGACGTTGTAAGTACAGGCATTTGCCGTGTACTGTTGTTGTTGTTTCAAAACAACAGCAACTTACACGTAAATTTATAATTCCGATTAATGTTATAAACATTATATGAATTTCCTAAATGAAAACTACGATTTGTAGGTAAACGAATGGCATAAAATTACGGATGTAGCAGAAATGTTGATGAGAGAGCCATCCTCTATCTCGCAGCAACGCTATCCGATCGATGTGCGAACGATATTTATGCAAATTTGCACGTTTAACAGGGGTGCGTGTTTTGGCCTAGGTAATACTTTATCAAGAAGTAAATTTACTAAGAATTTTTCCCATCTTGCTCATCGATAGTTGTTTTTCTAATAAAATTTTACACGTTACACGTTATATGAATTAGGGGAGAACATGATTAATCGAAGAATAGTAGCTACTTCATCCGTAAAATGTTTCTTGGTCCCGCGATATTGGTTGAGAATTCACAATCGTGCGAATATTTGGGAACGCGTCAAGTTGTTTATGGATTCCAAGTTCCCCACTAAAGAGCAATTGTTTGAGAAATTTTTAACAAATCGCAGGTACGTTTAATTTTTCTTAATTTAATAAATCAGCCAAAGTGAAGTAAGTAACAAACTTTTAGTGATTGTGTAGGACAGTACAAGACAATACAGGACAATACAGGACAGGCAGTGGCAAAGGACTATCCTATTATAAACATTATATACACGTTTCTTTTGATTTTCTAACGTTATCGTTGTGCTGTCATATCCCCCAACTAACTTGTAATATTATTATTATTTTTCATTCCAGATGGCTAGAGTATAAGAAAACTTTAACTGAAGACATAGATAGACAAAAGCGACGTATTCGCAGCAATGTGACGATACACGATGTTCCTTACGCTATTAGGATTGTTAGCACATCATAGAAATTATAATTCTCGACGACATCGCAATATGTTCTGTACCCGTGAAATTCCTACTCTATTGTTAACGAACAAAATTAAAGCGTTGTGTAGGTAAAAAATTTATTACACAGAAATTTTGTAAATACTAAATATAGCCTAAACGTAAGTTGAACAATTTTAATTAATTCGACACGCGCGCTTTGTTATAGCGTTCTCTATGCGACGAGTAGAATTGTGTAATTGTTATTTTTGAAATACATCGTACGTCTTTGGTTCTAAATTAACACGTAAAATTATTTCTCAGGTTCAAATTAAATCCTGCACTGAAACTTACAACGCATTGAGTATTAAGTACTAAGATAAGCGAATACATTTCTCTCGATGTTTCGTGAAAAATCAAATGCATATCTAATAATCAATAGAATTAATTAATAGAGTATTGAATTTTAAAAACGTATAATCAATGAATGATGTATAAAATGAATTGAAAAAATAAAAAAGTTAAAAAAGTGAAAAATGATTCATGTATCTCTCTTTGTTGTAGTCATTTCTTGTAAGAGATATCAAAATTTACGAGATACGAAGTATAAACCTTTAAAAAAATCAAATATTTTTCTTCCTCAAACGGCTGTCATGCAGTATCGAACATGTCAATGAAATTTTTTCTGGATCGATATTCGAAAGCAAAGTTAAAAAGTAATCATAAATGACACGTACATGCACATATGTATGTATAATGTCATTTATCTTGGTCTTCAAATTATTTCAAGTTATCGTCATGGCACATCGAAGATCAAACATCACGTATGAATGCAAAAAAAGTAAAAACGCATCGTCTCGTCTAATCGCACATACATATATGTATGTACGTTCATGCACAGATAGAAACTCGCTGTTACGCACGACAATGGCAAATAGCACGGTTTAAAATTGAAACAAAACCCAGACGTTTCTCTGATTACGTTGCTTCAATGTGGATGTACGAACTTATAGAATACACTCCCTTATTGTTCATATTTCTCAATTTATCGTATCAATATCCGCACGTCTATCCACGAAAATCAGCCTGAAATAGACATTCCCTTCAGTTAATCATCATTATGGAACAATTATTAAATTCTGTTCATGCACAGGTTCAGACTTTCGTCTGATTTCTCTCGCAATTAGCCATCACCACGTAACTAGGATTGCTGAAGCTAGCTGGTATGTCTAACCTTAAGTCGCTCTTTTGCTTCGGCATATTCACGTAATTGTCCTGCGTCCTGATAATCCCCGGTATAAAATCCTTCTTCGACAACGTGTTCCCACTATTCGATGTTTCATTGTCCTCAAAACTTTTCTCGTTCTTTTCATTTCTTTCCTTCTTTTCGTTTCTTTCATTTTTCTCATTCAGATCTATCAACTGAAGATTTTGTGGAGCATTGCAATATGCAAAATCCCTACTGGGGATGGGTTGAGCTATCGATTGATTTTTCATTGCCTCTCGTTGTCGAATGAACTCGGCTCGCCGCGCGTGCACGTCTATTGGTTGCAGATAGGGATCCTCTTCTTCCGGTTTCTTCAACATCGGCGACAATTCAACGGCGTCTTCTGAATCGGAAGTGACCGGAAACTCGAAGCGAGTTCCTTCTTGGTTTGGCCTTGGGCTAAATATTTCCGAATCGTAACCACTCTGACTGGTTGGACTCATGCACAGGTACGTTGAATTGGTTGAGTTCGAGGCAGGCAAGTTTGAATAATCGTGAGTAGGTGAGGAAAGCGCCGCGTGATCGGGTGCGGAAAGCATTGTCAAGTAGTCGTTTCGACCCTCTCCTGTCAATGACACGTTCATGTCCATGTAAGGGTCGTTCAGACTGATGTAATGCTGAAAATTATAAATATATTACAGATATTTAATATACCCTACAATGTGATACAATGCACGCTGCTACAGGAATTTTGTATCTACAAATAGACTCTCTCACCGCTTTTACACTCTCCTCCAACAAATCACCAATACTCTGTACCAGTTCTGTGAAGCTCGGGCGTAGAGTAGGTTTGGCTTTCCAACATTGTAACATTATGTCATATCTGTATGCCAAATATTCCAAATATTAAATTGTAATACGTATTCCGTGTAAATACAACGTGGAATCGATATAAATTAAACTTACACTTCGGAAGTGGCATATTCTGGCTGTTCTAATCTGTATCCCTCGATCAACTTCTGATATTGTACCTCAGCTTCCATTCCAGGATAAGGAGTTTTGGCCAATGTGAAAAACTCCCATAAAACTATGCCAAATGACCAAATATCTGACTGAGTCGAAAAAATTCGATCTCTAATCGACTCGATGGCCATCCATTTTATGGGCAACAGTCCACCTCCTTTCTTTTTGTAATTATTGTCTTTGTACATAGTTTTTGCCAGACCGAAATCACAGATTTTCACTACATTGTTCTCTGCCAATAAAATGTTTCTCGCGGCTAAATCACCGTGTAACACCTAACGGTTATAATAATTATTACATTTAATCTACGACTTCCATTCGTTCACATTTGTAATTTAATTTTAATTTGTTTATTTGAAATATACTTTTCTTTGGCTAAGGTACTCCATTCCTCGCGCTACTTGGAACGCCCAGGATAATAAATCCTGCGTGCAGATCGGCTTCAAATTGTAATCCTTGTAATCACCTCGATAATTAAATCTCCATCCCTGTTGGGAGGAATTGTTGCTAAGAACGCAGCCATCTGGCGACATACTAACTCCTTGAGAATCCGTAGCAGAGGTCTGATAATTCGTCGATTCGGTGAAGTCGGGCGAGTCGTCGCTACGACTGCGAGAAAATGACAATGCCACGTATTTTATCCTGTCGTATAAACAGAAGAGAACACGTATTTGTTAATACCACAACCCCATGCGTAGCATCGTTAGTTTTATACATTATTATTGTAATTAGCACGGTTAAAGATAAGAAAAAAGCAGAAATAAAATGTATAACTACTTGCACATTCCATGATTACATAAAACGCGTTAGTTATTTTATATGTACGTATAGATTTTTATACACTTTTACTTTTTGGCGAGTTACATTCAACTGATTATTTCACTATTATTTCACTGTTTCATTGTGTAGTGGAACAATGCAATTGTCAACGAGTATATTAATAAATGAGAATATTATTGTGAAGCGAAAGTTTCATTACATGGGAGTGGAAAATAAAAGCACACCTGTTATTACTGCTAACACTAACAGATCTGGTTAAAACATCTAAACCGATAGTAGGATCGAATTTGCCGGTTGCTGGAACAATTTGGTTGATGAAGTCAGCCCTATGCCGTAGTAAATAATTGTGCAAATTCCCAAATCGGCAATATTCTACGATCACTAATAATTCACCTATCAAAAGAAAGAAGAAAGTTATATGCGTTCAAATGGTTACGTAAATAATATTTAAAACATGAAATTCAATAAGGATTCAATTGACGATAAAATCACATAGATTTTTTTGGTAAAGATACGTACGTTTAGAAATGTTTTTCGTGCAAGCACCGAGAAGATTAACAACGTTCAAATGCTTTCCAAGATGCACCATAATTTTCAGCTCGCTGGCAAGGGCACGAACACACGTTGGCACCGTTGTTCGTCGAACCATTTTTACAGCCACAGTCGTAACCGGTTCGTTCTCGCAAATTCCTTCTGCTTCCGCCTTCATAACGACGCCAAAAGCTCCGCTTCCCAATTGTTTCCCTAATTGTTTAAACGTTTTGTATAATTAAGGCGCCATCAGATACTTGTGCGAACGATATATTTAAACTTAAGTCATTTTTTTTCTTACCCAATTTCAATTTCTCACGGGGAAATTCCCATTTCTTATCGTAAGGGAGCAATTCAGCTTGATCGTCCACCGTTAACTCGGGATTCAAGCATTCCACTGCTCCTTCTTCGAAATGCATCAATCCTGCTTCCATTAATTCTTTTCTCATAGTCTAAAATACATGTATTTCCTAAGATTACCAAGAAATAGCTGTCTTCCAATATTATACTATCATCAGAATCAAGACTAAATGTTATTGATCAATGTTTCATAATGCAGATGTACCTTTTCACGGCGGATCTTGATCGTGAAGTAAATGACCAACACCACTACCGTGATCAGTAAGACGATGATCAGTATAATCAATTCCTTGGGAAGTTCTTTTCCTAAAAATTAAATTAAAAATCAAACCTTTCTTAATAAGAAACTTTGCCGTTTCATCGTTGTAAAAAGCTCACGATATACTACTAGAAAAAAAGCTGAAATGTATTTAAATTCAACCCTTTCTTACTTTACGTCGATAGCAATCGGTCACTCGATATTTTTTGACATGGTAAATTACCTTTCGCTATTATTTTTATGGAGGCCTGAACTGATCCCAATCGATTCTTTGCTTTACACGTGTATATCCCGCTATCAGTATCCTCAAGGTAATAAATATGCAATTCTTGGCGATGACGGATGCACATAAATTGCTCGCCTAGTTTTAACGGTGTGTCGTCCTATGAAGAATACAATATACATGTACTAAGGTATAAATTTTGTGATAATTTTATCAATAATTTATTAATGATTTATTACGTCGCCTTAAAATCTAAAAACAAATATTAGCCGAAAGATTGTATTAAACTTACAACATTAATGTATTATCACTCACTTACCCTATACCAAGTAACTAATGGTTTAGGCATTCCAGTTACGAAGCACTGGAGTATTATCTCCTTACGACCCTGAGTGCTAATATCGACTGTGATTTCAGTTCCATTTAAATTAGTTTCCATCATTTGAGGCAGTACTGCATCTGTAAGGAGGGAACGTTAAATAAAAAATACTAGCACATATAACGATAACACGCGTACAATGTATAAAATACTTACCGTGTACTTGAAGGAAATACTCCATTTCTTCCTTATTGCTGCACGTATACATCGTCGAGTCCTCTTTTGTTACATTTTTTATTTTTAAGATGGAACGATAAGTGAATCGTGTCTTGGCTTGTTCGATCATTATTCTATCTAAACGTTTCAAAAACGAAACTTTTCAAAAACAATTGGTTTAAAAAAAAATTCCTTTTTTTAAAAAAAAAAAAAAAAAAAAAAAAGGAATGCTTCTTTTTATTATAGAACGATTGGAATCGAAGTTACTTACTACTTAACTCAATGGGTGAACCGCTGGAATATTTCCATTCGAAATTATTCGTATAATTGTAAATAGAGGCGGCGCAAATCAGTTCCGTCAAATCGTCACCTTCAACCACTGGGTCTGTTGGCTCGATTATACCGAAACCACCGTTGCCATCTAAAAATATTAAAATACAAAGTTTATTATACCATAAGTTAAATAAGAGAATAAAGTACAAATAATAAATAATTTTTAATAAATAAATATTCGTACAAATACTACACAATTAGCAAAATGAGCTATATTAATTACAAGAAGGAATATATATATATATATATATATATATGTAGAGAAAATTATAATTCGTCGATTCTGAGCAAAGTTTACAAACCCGAAACCAAAATAGTTTCAACGTGAGATTCGCATCCAATGAGATTGCACGCGGTGCAAGTAAGATAGCCGCTCATCTCGATAGTCATCCTCACCGTTGACCGAAATCTGGTGTTCATTCCGCTCTGCGTTTCGTTCTGTAGGAAATTAAAAGGAAAATTCTTGCTGTATATATTATAAACTCTTACGACGAAGAGTTAACTACTGTTAGATTCAGACTGTCTTGTAAGTAGAAACTTATAAAAACAATTACAACATACCTGCAATTCTATTTTGTCCGCGTCTTCGTAAGAAGGATAATAGGGACACTTGTAGAAAGTCCACGTAATATTTGGTGTTGGATAGGCTGCCACGTCGCAAGAGATTTCTACTGTCTGATTAGGAGCGTAATAAGGTTTTACTTTCAACATTGGCACAGGTTTCACTGAAAAAAAATAATAGGTTGCCTCGAAAATTGTATACTTCCCAATAAACGTGAATTGTAATGTAAAGACAACAATTTTATACAATAGTAATGAGAATCTCCTTCTGGTTTTCTGAGCTTTGCTTACCTATTACATCTAATGTGAAATTCAACATTTCGGATTTGTCTTGGTTAGTGGCCTGAAGAGAATATTCTCCCATATCTTCGATATTTAAATGATTAATCTTCAGAGTGGTATGATTGGGTGTCGATTTTATTTCGTATTTCCCTATTCCTATGATTTCCTCACCTTTCGTATTTAACCTGAAAAATATTAAAATTATTTTCCATTCTGACGGCATAAAAAATATTTAATACAGGCAAATATTTGCAATAAATATTAGTGAAGAAATTATATCGATGGGATCATTGATTCGCGGATGCTATATCTTTTATATTTGAACATTGTTATTTGAAAGAAAACTGGAACATACTGGAATTTTATCAACAGTGATTGACTGATTTACTCAAACTTGTTACCATTTAAGGATAGGTTCTGGATAGGCATGCACGTATACAGTCCATTGTATATTATCACCTTCTTGGCGGTGATAATGCCTGTGAGCATCCTTGACTGTTAGATTGATAAACTTGTTCTCCGGGTCTAAAAATGTATGTCGGAAACAATTAGTTTTTAATACAAAGACCAAATGCTACTCGAGATATATATTTATTATTAGCCACGTATAAAATTTTATTCCTTAATAATTGCGTAACATAATAACACAATAAATAAAATCATACAACTGGAGAATTATTTCAACTAAAAATTTACCATGAACCTTGATGTACTTTTTTGTTTTGCGCGAGTCATGATAGGACTTGATAATACATTCGTACCATCCTTCATCCTCATCCTTAACATCTTCTATAACCAATTCGGTAACTGCATTCACCGTCGGGCCGGCTTTTTTTGTATAACTGTTATTACTAATTCTGCTGTTCTAAAATAATATATTAAATTTATTTTCTGTAAAGTTCCAATTAAAATTACACAGAGTACACTTTACAACTGACAGTTGTAAAAATCCTAAAAAGAGGACAATTCTATGAAAATAATGTTTGCTGCAGCATTTCATGTAAATGTACAATTACATTTATTATATATTAGTTTTTCATAAAACAAGTAAAATTACATTCTTCTCTGTCGTCGTATCAGTTACAAAACGCTCTGTATAATGCGAAGAAAGATAAATAAATGACTTTCGAACCTTCTGTGGCGCATTCCAAATTAAACTGTAAGTCAAGTCTGCATCAACGGTGATGGTGCAGTTTACGCGTAGAGTTTGGCCTCGCGTTACGTGACGCATAGTATCCCCTATAATTTTTGGCGCGCTCAATTCTGGCGTGGCTAAAATTAACGAGGAAATGATTTTTAATTGATTCGAAGCTACGGGCCCTCCAGCTGAAATAGGAAATATCGAAATTAACACAAAGTGGCAAACTTTGACACTTACAATGCACCGAGAGGAAGTAAATGACATCGTGGGACTCCTCGGCTTGAAATATAATGCATTTGTAGTACCCGCCGTCTTTCAGCGTTACATTTGTAAATGTAAAACCAATCCTCGGATCGAAATTCGTTTGCTCCACCGGCTGTACAGTTAATTCGATTTTATTCGATCGTATTCGATTCGTTGTTCCAAGCTTTTATTTACGATTCTATATTTCACTTTGGTTTTATTCATTTGCATTCATATTACATGATTTAAAATTTAAAAACGGGACTGTCGTATTGTAATGATTTTAACATGCCGATTACAAAAATAGATCGTTTGGAAAACTTTCGCATCAACAACTTACAAACTCGTCGAAGAGAAGATGAACTGTGAAATTGGGCGATGTTGGTCTGCACGGTATCACAGCTGTTCTACCGACCGCCGCGTGCCTTGAAGCAAAACTCTCCGCTTTTACGAACGGACTTGCACTTGCTGAAACAAAATGTAAAAAGTATCCACGAGCACAAAATTAATAAATGCATCGTGCTCACATAAATTGCAATATTTGTTAGTTATTATCAAAGATAATAGCTCACTGGCTACCACCCACACGTAAAAGATGTTAAAGAATTTACTCACATTGAACGTAAACATATACCATGCTTTTAGACGTTGTAAAGCCAGGATGTGAGATAACTTGTAAAGTATTTCCAGGACAACCGTAGAATCCTGTATCCTCATGAACAGTTTTATGCTGAAAGACGAAGATATGACTGCCGTTCTCGGTTTCTTCTCGCATGTGCGTTACGGCGGTCTGTTATCAAACATATAATTCGTAATATAATATAATGTCGCAACATTTTTGTGCGAATACTTGTTCTCCTTAGTAGGGAGAGATAGTGTCGTGACGTGAATTATTTTTCAAAAACTTGCCGCATTATTCAAATCTTCAGGATAAATGAAGGAAATCCTTTCAAAGCCAGTGCACTTGATCTCCAACAAATCACCTTCGTTTATAAGCAGATCATCAGCTTCAATTGTCGCATCTGTATCTTCTTCTATTGAGCTTGCTAATAAAAAAATAAAGAAACAATACTCTATTATTTGTGCGAATGAATTCCAGTTTTTAACACGATTTTAAGAGAGATAGTATTATTACTACATTATATGTAATATAATATTATTACATTTAATTTAAATAATAATTTCTAAATGCATGTTACAGATAATGTCAATCGTTAAATGTCAATACGATAAACAGTGTATTTCGAATGACGATACGTTCTTTACATTTGTCAATTCAACAAATCCAAAGCTAGATGAATAATTTGAGTACATTGAGAAATTATTTTGAAGAAACAATGTTCATTTGTGTAAAAAACAAAAGAATTTTGTGCCCATCAATCTGATACATCTTCTTATTCTTATTCTCTCTGGAGGAATAATCCCTTGCGTCGTGATATGAATAGCGTTTCTACTTTTGGAAATGTTTTGTTATTTGATTTTTTGAAACGGGACTTGGCAAAATGAGTAACGAATATTTCGAAACGATACAGGATATTTTAGCCGCAATGTCCTGTGAATAATCTGGTTTTCATACTATTCTTACTGGCAGTCTTCTACGTAAAAGACTTCACATGCGTGCCACGCGCGAGCTCGGTTCTGCGCAAATACAACCGTCTCTAGGAAGGAAGTCCTTTCTTTCCTCTTCTGATAATGCAGCCGCATTATCAACCAACAGACTCGTTCCGTCAGAGAAGCTAATAAATAAATTAGTAACGAGCGCTACTGAGAAAAACACTCTTGAGAAAATTATTCTCCAATCAATGAACATACGCAAAACAAACTGATGTCAATGATGTTCTTCGCAACTGTTCTTTGCATAACTTTTGTTTCTACAAGAAGAGGAAACACGCATCTACAAATTGATCGAGCAAAGAAGCAAAGTCACGAAAGAATCAAATCTCGTTATACCGTTCACATCTCCCAACATCTGTTCAAAAATAAATTAATGCTTAATAAACTGACTTACTAATCATTTCAATAAGTAATCGCTTTTCGAGTAATAACTTTAGCTTATCAAATTATAATAAATCGATCGAATTAATTCTCAGCGATTGCAACAGCGATTGCGAGATCACGTTGAAAATAATTTGAAGTACGAATTTCGTGTAGGTACAAAAATTTTTTCGGGTCTGTCGTCGCATATTGACAAGTCTTGATAAGAACTGTCCAACCTACTAACGATAAAAACATGGAGAGAAACGAATGGCCTCACGTAGATTAACTAGCCAAAATGATAGCCTGTTATTTCCTGTTATTTCAACACACAGATTGTTATCGACTAAACTAAACAAAGAATTCGGATGATTGAAAAATCTTCATTGGCGAAACATCGTATCGAGTGCCTTCAATTTCTCTTAAATAAAATTTTATTTGCCGTTCCAAGGAAAATCTTACTCCGACTATTTCTGATATACTCTCGATATACTTCGAGGAATAATATACATGACGAATTATTTGATCATAGCTAACGCTCGTGCGCGTAATTGTTTGGTCGATTGGCTATTTTTATAAAAATGAAATTTTATCTGCCATGTACAAAACATAACAATATGTTTCCCCTTTAATTCCATTTTTTTAATAATTAGATAGCAAGCTAGAGATTTGTATCTTAATACAACACGGTAACACCTTTATTCAGTACTGTAAATAATTTACAAGTAGATTTCTAAATGCAATACACGCGTTAACAACTTACAAAACAGTTGCACCGGTAAAAGGAGGTCACTAGTAGTGATGTGTTCAAGTGGGTTGCAAGTTGAGTTTGAATATGGACCGGCAAGTACGTACGTATTCCGAAAGAAAGAAGTGGCAAGAGATTCAAAACTCTTCCGAACTCGATTCTATCACTAGTCGCTAATTTTATAAATTCAAAGTGTCAAAGTGTCAAGGGTTATGACGTTCCTCGACGTCTTTTTCATCCGAAACGCGATTCGATATCGATTTGTAAAGTCAATTCTTCTTAGGATACACGAATGGAGCATCACAATTGATACACCGCTGTGAAAATGAATTATTTCCACTTAAATAGATAGATAGATAGATCCGTAGTTTATAGATCTATCATAATCTATGAAAGGGATCATAAAAATTTTGATGAAAAAAGTATACAAGTAGACATTTTCAAGCTTTCTAACTAGTTTTAGATTACAAGACATTCATGTGTGCATCCAATATCCAATTAATTGCAACAATACTCGCCGAAACATTAAAAATAATCAAACAACGCTCTCGGAAAGGTACCGTTTCGTAAGTTATATCATTGATTTATTGCCTGCTGTAACAAGCTTGATGAGTCGTTAAGAGTAGCAGATTATGCTCGCATGTACCTTGCATAATTGCTACACATTAGTGACACGCATCTATACGAGTCGAACAGACTCCTGTTCCAAGTACAAAGAACATCAACGATCAGTATACCAGCGAATCAGGTAAACGCATTCCAGAGTATGATTCACGGGAAATTGGTTTCTGACGTTTCATTCAATCATGACGTATCAATTTATCTTCGTACACGATAGAACGTTAGAACTAACTAGAATTGAAAGAAATTTTTATTCAGACGTTACTCCCTATTTAATACTACTAAAATTTATAGTAACAATAGTCGAAGATAAATAGTCTCCTCTCGCATTAAAACGAGATCATTCGATCATCGGAATAGCCGTGATTTGCCGTGATTATTTTGAATAATTCTAAGATTCTACTCCGTCTTCACTTTTCATTAAATAATATGCATCTACTTCAATTAATTACACTTCGAATAATGCGTTATTTTTTAAACCACCTATGAAATGTCACGAATAATAATGCCAACTATAAAATGCCGCGGTCTGCGCTAAGTTTAAAATTAACGAATTAAACAAAGATTCGTCGACATTACTGAGACATTCTGGATAGTACATCATTGTGCAATTGAACCCACAGGTGAACGATTGAAGTTACCGACGACATGTGGCACCTATGTACATATGTAACTACGTAACTCTCACACAACCGTGACTCAAACACGACCACGTGATCGTGACACCTCACCGAAACAACGAATCGGCCGCCAGGTGAATATAGCTGACAGCAAAATAAAGTAGCAATTACCTCGATGTAGCGTGAATACGACAAACACCGCGATTGCTTCAGAAATTCGCACCATTTTCGCCTCTTCTATTTATTACACTATACACTTACTATACACTTTTTTGCTTATTTATTCATTACCGATCACCTTATATACTATACTACTGTAAAGGGACACTCGTACAATAAGACAACCTCATTCACATTGAAACACTCGCGCGAGCGACTGCGCGATACCACACGACCAAAGCATTCCACGCGCGTTTTCTCACTGATCAACCGAACGAACGGGTTACGCACATTCACGATTCTGTGAGCAACAGGCCCCACCCCGACCGATTCTACGTTCTCCGAGCTATCGATGACGTCGCGACGTCATCCATGAGGCGACGTTCATTCTCCTTTATTTGCTCCATGATAGAAATTAATCGCGTGAATCGGAGTCGCTCCAAAGTCACCGATGACGCTTTCTACTGGAGTTGAGTAAAATATTATTGGCCAAAATTTTCTTGCTTTAATCAAATAAAATATTTCATTTTGTCTGATCGTTGGCTACTATTTTAAATTTGTCGATACTTGAAAATTGAATCATTCGAATGTTCGACATTATTTATTTGACACATAGGTTGTTGTTTGTTGTTGTTTAAAAATTGTAAGGGACATTATTTTTCGTTTCGCGCTACTTGATAGAATGAAATTTCAATACCCAGTTGTTTAAAGTAATTATATTCCATGTTGATAGACATGAATATTCCTTATACACGGAAGCATAAATTATTTTCTAACTTATTTCTCGAGTAATATTATATCAGAATTTATTCGTCATTTTACTTAAAATAATTGTCGACGTCCTTCAATATGTAGCGATGAACGTCACAATGATACAATAAAGCCAGGAAGACACACGAGATCGATAATTACCGGAACAATCAAAATGACGTATTTCATAATTGCGGTGGTATCTGAAAAGTTCGCAGCAGTTTTGGAATATAGAATAAAGTACCTTCCTTTCCAAGTCGAAATGTTATATAATATTAAGATGCGACTGCTGTACTCTGTTCATCGTTACTCGTTGCACACGTTTCATCGTTGATATCTATCACATTTATCGCGAAAAAATTGCTATCAGTCGCGTTATCTTTGTTACTTGGTACTTGGTCTTTCGGTTGACAAGAGCTTCCGTCAGGTGAATTTTCGACGATCGATTGACACGAATTTGAACTTTCTCTGTCATAGACGGTGAACCTTTTCAGATCGATCGTTGTAGAAGAAGGAATAATTTCCTTCTTTTCAAATTTCTTGGTTATGGGCTGTGCTTGCTTCTTAACCGATGGATCCGAGCATGAGTCTTCGATGAATTTTTCTTTGGAGCAGCATTGAGACGAACTGCAATGCTCGCCGTGACAACGAATCAGGCAACCGGCTTTTTCCATGTTTGGCTTCAACTATCGAAATTGAAGTTGAAAATGACATTAGAAGAATTTTTCTTTTACTTCTATATTCAGAAAAATGCTTTTACATACCTTATGAAATTCAGGTTGTATCGTAACCTGAGTTATTCCTATTTTTATAAAAAAGGCTGTTACTTGCTCGCTAATGCTGGCGTACACCTACAAACAAACAAAATGTTAGTTCAGTAGGCATTATTCTTCGTTCGATACACTTACAAATTCAATACGCAACTTACAAAGTTGCTTGAAAGTACCGAAATATTTCTCTCTCGAAATATTTATATTACAAAGTTCAAATTAATCGATCATTGTACAACTGTACTTGTCGTGTACTTATACTCATCAGTTACAGAAAACTTACCGTTGGATCCAAGAATATTATATGAACCGTAGAGATGATCTTCTGTCCTGTTAATTGCCAAACGTGTAAATCATGGACGTTCACAATACCGGGGAAAGCTTCTAGCAATTCTCTCTTAAGAGAATCGATGTTTATGTGATTAGGAATTGTCTGAAGAAGTATTAGACCAGATTCTTTCACTACAATAAAAGTTGCACGTTGTCAATTTCCTGTGTTTTCACTTTCATCTGCATTATTTTCAATACTTACTGTACGAATAGCTAAGCGCTAAGAGTGAAATGGCAGAGATAATGGCAAACAGAGGATCGATGTATTTGGCGACGTTCGAGTCGGTGAAATATACTAAAATGGATACTAGGATAACAAAAACACAGCCTAAAGCGTCACGAGACGTTTCTCGGAAACCTTGGCTCTTTGGTATACCTAGAGGACTTCGTCTGGTTTGTGAAGATAACTGTTCTTCACCTTCCTTCGTTTGCTGCGAACTGTTTCTAGAAATAGATGGACGCCTATCTCGTTATTAGTTTTGACAACCTTCTACTACTCTCTGTTTTACTTCAATTCAAACAAATAAACAAGAAAATATACACGATAAAATTATAGAGTCTTTAGAATTTAGCCTGTCTATCGTGGTTAATTTCAGCGCTCGTACCGTCGTAGTATCACGTCTCCGTTCATCGTAACGTGAAGAACAAGACCCTGATTAAAGGTATATCCTCCAATCAGTATGTAACAAAAGGCATTGAGAAGAATGCCCGAGGCGCCAATTGCCAGAACAGGCATCGGATGGTGCATTTCGTCCAAGTGATCTATGTGCACCAATGTTTGCAGAGCCTCGACCAACAAAGAAAAACAGAAAGACGCGAGGAAAACGCAGCAGATAAGCGTCGTAACGATATCTATCCTCGCCCAGCCAAATGTATTCTTCATCCTCCTATCCGATCGTGATTGCTGTAAAAAACGTGTTACCAATTGCTGTACAATTCAGCACACTTTAAGCGCTTAGATATATTTCGGTTATATATACTTTTCAAAGTATAAGAGCGAAGTTGAATCAATATTTTGTTTTTACCTTTGTCTTCGTCGACAAAGACGTCGAAGATTCTCTTTCATCGCCACGTATGCAGATTGCTGAATTTCGTAAAGAGCTCGAGGTGCTGTTCCCACTGTAACTGACGCTGCTCTGACGATGGCTATACTACAAAAAAGAAATGTGTCAGTATCTAAATTATTTACATTACGATACATTGTAAATATTAAGTAGATCTTACATTGCGTTTTAAATATAAAAAATATATTTTGAAGTATTTTCAATCGATTCGTCATTCTTAAAAATATTCTTCGGAATAATTTCGCTGCGATTTTTTACCCAAATAAAAATAATTCAATACAAGTACAAATTACAAAGTATTCTTATCATCGTGGAAAAAAAAGGAACCGATAACGTAATCTACTGTCAACTATTATAAATGTGGTAGTTTATATCAAATATTATATTGTAATATACACGTTAAGTAAAAAAAAAAAAAAAAAAACAAAGGATTTTTCCTCATTTGCCTATTTCTATTTATACAATTTCAGATAGATAATTAATACATAAAGGGGCTGAAAGTTGAGTTATATCTTTGTTCAATCTTTAATCAAATACACATTGCCAAGCGATAAATCAAACGTGTGGTCATTTATGAATTTAATTATTAATTTAGTACGTTATTAAACTTACCTTGATGGAGGCGATACAACCAACAAGCGCGATGATATTGCATAGCATGTGATAGGCATTGAGAAGTAACGTGAGTGAATGAGTCACATGGCTAGCGACCACCTCGACGATAAAGAAAGCGGTGGTGAAGAACAGGACCAGGTACAACTGGACAGGTTGTAGTCTTCTAAACCATTCCTTCACAGCCATGACCCTGGAGCAAAGCCACGCGGTGAATGTGTTCCTGTTGTGTTCGTGCCAGACAGAAACACATGGAACGACAAATATTTCACGGTTTCCATGTTTTGGAAAGATTGGATATCGTTGCTACATCGATATGATAAATTTTCCAAGTGCTACTTGGAATATTTTTCGAAGAGCAATCATTCATTCATTCATAAAACATACGTAAAAGGAAAATTGTAGTTGACGAATTCAAGCAGCTTGTTGTACAATAAAACGCGTTCTAAACAAACTACGTTGACGTAACAAGCTTTTATTAGAGGATGTTATCCATAGTTACGATACCATCGTTTCGTGAACAATAATGAAAACTCTGTTCGAGCGATCTGTCATCAGTTTACGACGCACAATTATTTATTAAATACATTTGAATATGAAAGAATTGCAAAAATTCATTGATAATTTCAATAACAATCCAACGATTATCATCGAGAATTCTGACACAATTTTTTCAACTCTCAACCTTTGTAAAAGCCGCGAGGATCATTCTCAATTCTCTCGGTAATCGAAAAACTTTTGTATTCGTACCGAGTGAATACCGTTTTAGTAAATTTTTAAGAATTTTCACACATCTCACAAAATTGATACACTTTATCGTCAAGTATTTTTACTTTGACAATGCTTTAGCAATCATTTCACACAAATAATTTTTCTCGTATACTCCGGTATACTACAACACTATACGTACCCACACACTCTAAAATAATATTTATTTAATCGAATAGTCGCGATATTCCCTCCGAGAATATTCAGACAAACATTCAGAAATTTTCAAAAAATCTCAATCGTTCGATCGTTGGCGGTTAAGTGACAGAGTGTCCATCCATCATGATTGCAGACGATGTAGTCGACGGATGTGGTCGTCACACGCGCGATACCGAAAGAAAAACACGGCGTATGTATGAACCGTGCGATTTCCAAAGCCACGTGGTCGAACCATATTTCAATTCGGTTCAATTTTTTTTGACAAATTCATTTCAGTATACAGTAATACTTCGATTATGAAAGCAACGATCAACTAATCAATTAAATTAATCGAGCATTCCAAACAGCAATTAATAAAAGATCGAGAGATGATTTTTTGGCAAAAAGAAAAAAAAAAAAAAAAGTTGAAGGAAACTGTTACATTTCCATTCGAAAATTTTTCTTCCCATTCAATCGGTATGTATATCGTTAAATAGAAATAAATGATTTTCTCTCGTACGAAGGCAAAATCATTCGATTGTCTGAAAAACTCGAAAAAGTACGTGTAATATAAAGATTCGACACTCCGCGAAACCACAATGAAACAATGATTTACCGTCACTTTACTTTCGATCGAGTCGATCAAGCTCTCCTCCACTTCTGACCCCTCCGACTATACAACTTGTTATGCCTTGTGACCCGTGCTCCTCCGTGATAACGAGCTCGAACCGAAAGAACCACTGTATTATTCCTGCTTCAGCTAGGTTATTGCTTTTTTTCCCTCGCCAGCGAGAAGACGAGAGTGAAAAGGTTCACCGGCCAAAACGATACTTATAGTGCCTTAAGTGTCGAATAATCGGTCGCTACCGATACGCATACTATGACTCACGAAAGTATTTGAACAACATTTGTACTCGTGTGTCCCCGTACTTGGACATATTTTTGTTCTAGACAAACATTAATGATCTTCAATTTTAATTTTTCATTAAAAAATTTATACATATGTGTATATATCGCAAAATAAAAAACTTTAATGTTAATAACTTAAAGTAAGCTTGAAAATAATAATTATTATCAAGGATCTTCTGTCGTCTTCGTTTTCTTAGTACGTAACGTCAAATGTAGAGATAAGTGGATAATTAACCGCTCGATGAGCTCCACAAGCTTTACATTTCATATAGCAAAAAGTTTCGCATAACACGTTTAATACAATTTATACACGTGTGTATTCACAAAAGATTTTTATAAATGTTCAGATACAAGTTTTCGTGAGTCACTTTGTACTTGCATGAATGATGAGTAAATTCGAATGGCCAGACGCGCAGGGTTTCATCTCTTTTTTGTTCGATGGATTATTATCGTTATATATTTGACTTATTCAGACAATGTTTCGTCCTTTTTTTGTGAAGCCGTTTTAAAGTTTAACAATTTCATGCTATAAATAAATAAAAGTATTTATTTGATCCTTGAAATTCTTATTCTTTTGCATTCTGATTCTTTGCTAGATTCTGATTCTTTACAGATTTATTTTTGGTTTTATTCGAATAATGTAGGATGATTATTTCTTCTTTTTTTTTCTTTTATTATTGCTAAAACCTGTATTTCCAGTTTCTTTATTCTAATTTAGTCTGTATTTCAACTGTTTCGTTATCCTAGAAAGAAATACGTCTTTGAATATTTTATTAAATTTTCTACAAAATCTTTTTCAACACTGAAGAAATAAAAAGAAATGATAAAATAGATAATCGAGTGAGTAACTAATAATTGTTAAAAAAGATTCGAATTGTTCTTCATTCATTTTGTACTTGGTAGAAAAACGCGGTATTTTATCAACGCATTTCATAATAAAACATTGATGTGATGGATAGATAAAAGTCATGAAAATTTACGCAAAAATGACGCAAAAACGTGTAAAATTCTTACACGTGTTTAACACGAGTGACACGTTTAAAGATAAATGTTTGGATCAAGACTCGTCGGAAATAATGTGACTAAAGTAACCAAGCACGATTTAGTCAGTATTGACAAATCATTCGTTTACGTGTCGACCTTCCACGCTGTTTAGTAATCTTTTCGTCCATGAACCAACAATTCTGCCTGAATATTACTATTTTCGTATCTAGTCTACTGTCAAAAAGTATCATATACGTATCGCATCTTACTATGTACGTATTTACTGTCTAAATATTATTAGTTGCATTGCAACAATGAAAGTATCTCTGGATCGTATTTTTGTTCCGGAGGAACATTCCTAATCTGTCTTATACTAATGACTTAAAAATGAAAGAAATCAAGACAGACAGCATTCTTGTACACAACAACGAAACACAATGAAACATTTCGCGCTGTCCAACTTCAAACGTTCTGTACATTGAGATAATATAATACACACACAACATTTCTGTAACACAGAGATACATGTACTAGATGCAGGGGTCATCAAAGCGTTAGTTGCCAACATCCGGTTGTGGTAATAGCTTTTCAACTCTGAAATGCCCGCTCCTCCGATCGTCGTCTTAATACTACTTCGTCTGAACGCAAAATTGCCCTAGCTTGTTAATCACTGATCTTTTCACGCAATGTGTTAGCATCAAGTATTAACTTGATCCCTCAGGTTACTATGTTATTAAAAAAAAAAAATTAACTACACCGCTATGACTGCCATGGAATTTTATCATTCAAACGAATTAATTAATGCAACAATATTTTCTCAAAAAATCAATCTTTTGTTTTTTTTGGTACCGCTAATCACACGCTCACTGCATTCTTATCTACCGAATGAGTGTGATATCTTGGCACAATTTGAAGAAACAAACAAAGAAATGTCGGAATCGTCTGATTAAAGAACGTTCCCTTTCTCGTGTTATTTGTCCACGATGTGTTCTTTTTATAAAGAATATCACTAATCTTATTATATATTACAGAAAATAACTTACAACTTCTCTGGATTGATCTTCGCTTGTATGAAAGAAAACGCTTCCTTCGAAACGAATTCCTTCTCGAATTTTCATCGATGTTAAATGAATCAGTCGCGAGTAGCCCGACAGCGGTCGAATGTTTGTCTTCGAGCTTGCTTCAGCTATATCTTTATCCATTGTAATTATCGTAAAAGTAGGCAGCACCCGATAACCCAAGATTATCATTTTCATTATCGGACAATCAGCATACAAACATGAAACCGTGGTAGCTTTCTGATAACACAATGGCAATCAAATCGAATCAAATCGAAAGATGACGGAGGATATTGCAATTCGTACAGTTGCCTGCTCGGGTTTATTTGTTATAGATTTAAATGTTTTGAATAGTACTTTCATGAATCATCGATTATCCATGTGGCGGATTGAAAGAAAGAAACAGAGAAAAAAAAAAAAAGAAAAGGAAAATGAAGATTCCCATTTAGAAGATATACTACGTCATTAGTAGTTGACTTTCTTGAGTGGTGAATTTACCGGACCTCGGCTTTTAGCTTTTTCTTTCTTCGGGCGTAACGCCTGCTGAAACTTGCATCTTGTCTCGACAGCTTCGATCTAAAGATAAATCGCGAAAACTAAATCAATTACACATGTTCGTAAATACGAATTATGCTCGAGCATAAGCTTTCGTTTCAGGTTGGACACGCGAAAACGTGCGTAAGATTGTGCCAATCTAGCCGATCCTGTCTACTTACGATTTACTGTCTACTTACATATGCACACCAGAAGAAGCTACTTATCCTATCTTGTCACCCTATGTTTAAAAAATAGCAAAGACAGGAACATACACTTGCTGCTTCACGATTCATATACACCTGGGCATAAAGGCCTACACTAGAGAGGACGACGTTTCCGACATCCGATCGTCGCACACACACTAATTAACACACTAATTTATGCATGTATCATTTTCCTGAAATCGACTAACGAAGACTAATGATCATTGCGTAAAATATACTCATAACTGTTATACAAATGTTGCAAAGTATCTTGCACATGATATTTAATACATCTTTTGGCAGATAAAAATATTATTTAATCATATGGGTATAATCTATCTTTACATTAATATTGAATATATTTTAAATTTACAAATGATTATAATGAATATATTCCTTTATATTGTAATATTATATCAATATCATACTTATATTTATCATTAATGCATTATTATTAACATGCAAAGATGCGACGTGCAAGAAAATCTATCTTGAATTAATAAATAGAATACAGACAAAGAAATATTACTACTACTCACGAGTATAATATGTATAATGACTGAGATCACTGTGCTCTGTCAGCTGTGTCGATTCCGACTTTTCGTTCTACGACGAAATTCATGCGACTCACGATTAAATCGGTGAAGTTGTGACTTAGTAGAACTCATCGTGAAGCCAGTATCAAGTAGAAGAAATGAACAATCGAAGAAATCTGTAACGCGATGTAGAGTATTATAATTGGTTCTTAAAGATTATATTAATTAAAGATAATATTAATTATTTGAAATGTCAAAAATTATTATATATTTAAAATATCGGAAAATATATTCTAATGTTATCAAATAACTACTGATATTCCATGATATAATTGATTTATAAAAATTATATTCTAAATTTTTGCCATTAGAAATTCAAATATATTTTTTAGCAATTAAATATGGCGCCCTTCTTTTGTCAGTTAAATAAAGCTGCGCAATACATCAAAGATACAATGCGCTGAACATATTTATACCACAAAACTATTACAACAATATAAGACTGTAGATCGATTGAAAATATGATATAAATGCTACAATTATACCATAAAACAGACATATATTTATCTTTAAATGTTATTTATGTCTATAAGAAAAATATCGAACTTGCCATTAATTGTCATGGCATCCTTTTGAATTTCGTGATGTCTTTCTAATGTTTCAGTATTTCCCTTGTAATAAACAAATAATCTGTAAACAGAAATCAAAATTTTCAAATGAGTGTATAAGAGAAACATATTACCTAAATATGAACCAACAATCAAGGTTGAATGCTTCTAATACGAAATAGCGATTAATATTACAATCACAGAAATAATAAAAAGATGATAATTTACTGATAAATTACAACAATATTGAATAAATTATTCAGTAAAACGTACTTTAAAACACATAATGAAAGTATAACGAAGATATTGCATTTAACAAATGACACACAGAATGATACGTCTTAATGCTTCGAGTTTTAACGGTAGAATAACCTACCGCGCATCGAATTCGTCCTACGAACGATGTGGCGGGGATACAAACGTACATAAATACTTGAATTTAATTTACCTTGGACATTTATAAAACTATCCCATAAATTATTCAAACGTAAATTAACTCCGTTTAAACGTAAATTATCTTTCAATATTATATGAACGTTTTTTATATTTTACGTACGCTGCGATTTCGATTTTCGATCTTAATTCACATATCGATATAATGTACAGCCGAATTCACACACTAACGTAGCAACAATTTATATTCTAACACAAATTCTTGTTACACACATACATATAACCTTCTAATTTTACATAAGAAATTATATAAATATATGGGGAATTTCAAATATTTTGAAAAATGAAAAAATGCTAAATAGTATATTTTAACTAAAAATCCTCCATGAATGCCAATGAAAACATGCCTTATGATAGATCTATGTGCTATGAACTATAATCATAATAGAGTCGATATGTAACTTTTACAGTATCAAAAAGTAATTTACAATTGGATTAAATGGCTATGAATTTTATAAATTCTTAAATACTTTTGGATAAATACTAAAGAGAAAAGAAAGCTGCTTTCAATGATTGTAGGTATTATTATAATTTCACATCTCGAAGTATGTGTACATAGAAAATTACTGTATAATGCGATTTTTCTGTTCGTAATTGCAAATAAATTATACCGCTTTTACAATTTTGTAATTGCTAACATTGTATATGTTTATGACATATTTTGATAAAATTGCATTATGTAGTGGTCGAACAATTATAATTAAAAATTCTCACAGATAATGGCCAAATTGGACAATTTTAAAGATCATAATAAAATAGCTGAAGAAAATATTGTTGTACGTATGCGCATTTATTTATTTTTATTCAATCAAAACTTGTAAATATTAGTAATATTAGTAATATCAAACTCCCTTTCATTTACATTTGCAAGCTTCAGAAAGCTTTGCTTTTCATTTTGTGTTAACACACTTATTATTTTTCATTTATTCTGGTAACTCAACTATTATGTGAAGTGTGGTGAGAGTGTGAAAGAATACCTTGAACCTAGATTCGAGTGTCCTATTTGTTTAACTTGGCTGCGTGATCCAGTTTTAACATCTTGTGGTCATAAATTCTGTTCGCAATGTATATACACTTGGCTTCAGTAAGTTATATTTTAAAATATTATATACTTCACAGGTATACATATGTACACACACACACACACACACACATATATATATAATCTATAATAATATATAAATAATTATATTTATATTTCATATTTATGAATTTAATTTTTATTTTGTAGAAAAGAAGGTGCTTGTTGTCCAGTTGATGGTAAAAGTCTAAGATCTGAAAGTGATTTATTCAGAGACTTATACACAAGCAGAGAAATATCTCAACAACGTATACCTTGTCTTTACCAACAATTTGGCTGTGAGATTAAAATGTCTCCAGTAGATATGGAAGCGCATATAAATGAATGTACTTATAAACAATGTCTTCCAGATTCACAAATTATATATTGTTCCTTTAAGAATGTTGGTTGCATGGAAACTTTTCATAATGAAGAAGATTTACATGCACATGTAGAAGGAAATATAAATATCCATTTAACTGTTGGTACAATTTTTTTCGTAACATTTAATCATAATATAAAAAAAATTACTCCGCAATTTCATAGATGATGGCGAAAATATTACCACAACTCTCTGTTTTAAAAAGTAATGTTAATGCTGCAGCTGTAGAATCGAAATTATGGGATCCTCCACCAAAAAGTACAATGGAAAAAAATGAACCACCATTAGAATGGCAACAATTATTAAAGTGAATTTTATTTATATCTTATCGTATGAAAAATTTCTGCAAAATATATTTATAAAAAATTTTTATTGTAATTAAATGTATTATCTTCTTTTAGAAATCTGTATGAAAGGATAGTGGTATTGGAACAACAAAGTAAAGAACTGTCTATAACTGTTTCTAATCAAAAAACTCAACTCACAACTTTGCAAACTTCTTTGCGATGTAGTCAGGAAGAAATGTTTTTACGTAGTTGTAATGGGGTTTATATTTGGAGATTACCTTCCTTTCATGAAAAACTTGAAAGCATGATGAAGGATTCATTAAAAATGTTTTATAGTCCTGGCTTTTATACTAGCCCTAATGGTTACAAAATCTGTGCCAGAATTAATATATCTTCTAAAGAACCTAAATTTCTGTCACTTCTTCTGCATATAATGAAGTCGGAAAATGACGACGGTTTAGATTGGCCATTTAATGGAACAATGTATTTTGTTTTAGTCCACCCACATAATTGGGAGAAAGATATACGAGAAATAACTTCTTCAAGACCAGATCTTGAAGCATTTAGAAAACCAGTATGTGAATTGAATAAACGAAGCTTTGGCTATACAGAATTCGTACGAATACAAGATTTACCTGATTTTTTGCAAAATGATTGTTTAATTTTTAGAATAGAAGTTCGTGTTTATGATAAATTTAGAACACCAATATAATTGAAGAATGTTAATAACATTTTCCTCTTTGTTTAAAGTAGGAATCATTTTTGAAAAACTTCCGTCCTTGCAAATTTATAATATCAAAAAACATACATTAAGTATATAAAAAACCATTAAAACTTAAAGAAAAATCTAACATTATAAAACGTAATATTATATTACACATTTCTACAGTTCAATTTATCGTTAATATTATATTAATGATATTAATATAATCCCACTTATCTATCGTTATCTGTAATATATCTTTTACATAATGTAATTATATTAATGGAATGTAATCTACTAATGGAAACGCTATTGTATTTTAGTATAATTTTTAACTTTAGATATAAATGAAAAATATTTTATGTAAATTTAAATTTATTATATACTTTATGCTAAATTTATTATATAATTTGTCCTATAATGTAACAAAAATTAATTTTATCTTATATAATAAAACTTTAAATTAATATGTATCATTCTTATTTCCTTGCATATTAAAAAATCTATTAAATATATATATTTTAAAAATTGTACATTTACATACATTAATGTTGCAATATTAATGTTGCAGCAAAAATCACTTGTAAAAGTGGGACAATGCCAATGCCGTGAAATTGTAACGAGTCAGAGAACAATATCAGATTGAAGTTTTCCAAGTACAGATAATATTTTAAGAAACAAAATAAAAATGCAAATAAATATTATACGTATTATATTTATTTTTTCTTCGTTATTTGTGGGAATTATTGGATTATTACTCAATTATATGGAATCTTATCTACCCTGTGTAATAACTCGTACTTATCGTTACGGTAAATTTTCTGTTGATAAATATCAACCACTAGTTGCAAAAGTAGAGGTACCTAAAAGGTAAGCAATTAATTACTTCATATATCCTACGCATATTAACGCATTCTTTAAAAAAAATATTAATTATAATGTTTTAGATGGTTTAAACATTTTTATATCTTTGCTGCTCCAGCTTCGAGCTATGTACTATACTTGGTAATTTGCAAATATTTATGGAATGATAATATTTCTAAAAATGTTATATGGATATTGGATATATGTTTGGGATCATTCAGACAAGCACTAGGTAACTACATACTTGAAAACTACTTCAGTACTTTGTACTTAAATGTTTCATTTAAAAATATTTTTTTAATAATACACATTTTATTTAACAAATGTTTTCCAGTATCACCTGAAAGCACATTTATAGCAACTGTACTTTTAACTTTACACTGTTGGAAACGATTCTATGAAACACATTTTGTAAATATCTTCAGTGACAAGATGATGAATATTAGTCATTACATCATTGGACATTATCACTATGTAGGAACTTTGATCTGTATTATAGGTGAATCCAAAGGATTTGTTGAAGGTAATCAAATATTTAAATATAAAATTGAAGTTATCTTCTAATTAATTTCTTTTAATATGTTTTTCATATAGGTTCAGAAGGAAATTTCTCTTGGAAGAAAATTACATATCTGCAATTAATATGCGCTATTATTTTTGTACTATCATCATGCGTACAGTTCAGGACAAATTTGATCCTTAATAAGTTACGGCGAAACAAAGATGGAAAGATTAATTCCACAACATATAAAATACCACATGGAGGACTGTTTAAGTATATATCAGGCGCATTACAACTTACAGAAATAATTATTTATATAACACTTTCTATCATTTTATGGCAAAGTTCTACTTATCATTATGTTACAACGTGGGTCTTAATTAATCAGGTACAGTATGTTCTCATATAAAATTCTTAAAAAATTCTTAATAAGATTGAATTAATAATCTCCTACTTTTATTTTAGACGTCTACTGCTGTACTGACACATAGATGGTACATAGAAACATTTAAAAATTATCCAACATCTCGAAAAATTCTCCTTCCTTATATTTTTTAAATGTTACAAAATTTCTTGCATGATACAATGATGCAGAAATTTCAGATATGTTTATGGAACAATATTATAATTGAATAATTAAATAAAACCAGTAATCCGCATCATTTTTATAACGTACATGCTTTTGTAACATTTTAAACAAATTATGTTAAAGAATATATGATTTTAAATATTAATTTATTTTACATTACGTACAAACAAATGTAAATTATGATTAAAATACACTTCAACAATAATTAGAGCTACAGTATTTATTTATTATTTGTATCCTAATTCTTAATCTGACAGATAAGTTGAAAATTTTTTTTGCAATATATACAAATAGTGACTTCTCACGTTTATTTTTTCACTTGAACAATAAGCTGAAACAAACAATTTAATCCTCTCTGAGACGAAATAATACTAATTCTTAAAAAAATATAAGAAATAGAGTATGTTAATATATATTTATTAAAAACTTAGTTACATCACGAAGATGAACGTTTTTATAAATATATTAACATACTCTAACATGAAAATAATTTATTAATTAATAATCTTTAAAAAAAAAAAGGCTTTCTCATACCTGTATGGATAGCCTTGTACTTTGTTCCTAAATATTGATAACAGTGAACTAAAGAAGATAGCGACTAATCCAGCGCCTATTGCTGCAAATATTCGCCGTTTTTTTACATCACCTTTACGTGAAGCGGCTTCGGTCATTAAAATCATACCTAACACCACTGCTCCATCTTATTACACTTGTTAAGGGAAATATTAACCATATGTATCTATATTCAGAAAGATATAGAATAAAATCATAAAAATTGTACACTATACAACTGGTAGCATATCACAGAATAGCTAAATCATCACATAGATGTTAACTCTGAGAATTAATGAAAAGGATACTTAGAATCATAACAATGTATGTTTCTAAAATGAATTGCCCTTGAGAAGAAGCATGTATATAAGCTACATTCCCACTAGGTGATCTGTGTATGAATGGTGGACCTCTAATATGATTCCACATTTGTCCAGATATCATTGTAAGTGTAAAGAACTGTTTAAAAAAATAATTATAAGATAAATTATCATTCAAAGAAGTATACTTACATCATGAAACATTACCAATGCACCAAGACCCCAAATTGTTTTGTTATAAATGAAATCTAAATTGTTGCGCCTCAGGTATAAAAATCCTCCAATAAGTATCAGCAACATTATTATTGCAACCGTGCCAGAATAGTTTGGAGGCCTAAATACTCTAATCTGTAATAAATTTTAAACAGATTAGCAGATGATTCTTATTTGTTAAATATTCCACATATATCACATACCTGAATATCAGTACGTTCAGATATCCACTTTGCAATTGCTTCTGCTCCAAATCCTACTCTTTGGATATCCATGGTATCTGCAGGTTTTGGTTTACCTTTTGGTGGAAAATGCATATATACCGGTGCAGTATTCAATCTCATCTATTGTAAATACATTGAAAATTATTTGTAAGTATTATATTTAATACACATTTATAATATTTAGTACATTTATAACATACCATGTGGAATACATCTGATCCTTCGTCAAAATCCACAGATGCAAAAAACAACTTCTTTGAGTGAGATTGTAAATATCTAAATGAATTTGCCACGATCACAAATTCATCATTTGCATGCCTAATGAGATAAAAAAATAAAAAAACTAATTAACATTAAACGTAGTACAATTTAGTAGAAGATAAATTAACATTAAATTTACCTGCATATCTGACACTGTCTTTGAGGTGCCATGGCAGTGAACATTACAACAACAGAATAATTTCTTGGTGTAGTTTTGACATATTCTTTAAATTTTGCCCCATTAAACTTAATCACGGGTCTCGTGAGAGCTAGTTCTGATAACTGCTGCACTCGATCTGACAACGAAGAACCAGGAGTCTGAAATACATTATTTCGCTTACATTAGACACAAGAAAATTGATATTTAAGTCAATTTTGACTGATTGAAGGTTAAGTAAATTTTTGTTATATTAAAAGATTACACAACATGTAAAATGTGTTAAAATGCACAAATAATTTAAAAATGTACTGTTATTATAATTGTTCCATTATTAATTCCTGGATTGGTTCGAGTATAAAAAATTGAACGACTAATTTGACACTTTGACACATATGACAGTTACAATAACGTAATTAAATCCTCACGTTTTTCATCCTGTATTGGCCATAAACATAATTTAAACTTAGAACAAGTCCCAACAGTATAATACATTTTTTACATTCCATTGCAAACAATATTATAAAATGATATATTACATATACTTCTCTACCACAAGCACGTTACAACCATGCAGGTAACATAAGAAGCTTATTGGTCTATTCGATACAACGTGGCATTTAACGTGAGATGTGAGAAGGTTCCAACTCAAATGTATATTTTCAACAAATATTATTAAAATAAATATTTCAAAAATTCATCATTTAAACAATATAAATTTTTCTTCTCTCATATAATTCATTTGTTATTTCTTATATAAATTATGTATAGCTTCTCAAAATTATATCTTAAGCCTCTAACGCCTATCAGAGCGTATACAAAAATTTCGATATCCTAATATAAAGCTGCAATTGATATTGATATTAAATATCCTAAATATTCTCTAAATGCTATAAATATTCATTGTAATATCGTACAATATGAAATATGAAATATTATCGAATATATGTCGCAAGATTTGACTACTTTTCGTACGGCATTGGTTCATAGTGGAAATATATCTGCTACGTGATTGGTCGGTTGCGCAACATGCGCTCGCTGATTTGTCGTTTTGCTATTGTTCAGTTGGTATAACCGTTATTTCAAATCAGAAAAACCGGTAAAGTATTTCACATGAAAAAATGTTTGGTGCCGACTAGGAAATTGATATATAACGACCTTCCCCTCGCATACGAAAACAGCAGTTCGAATAGGAGTGATGCGTAACGGACGTTGTTAACCGCGTTCTTCATTATCGTTGATGATTTACGTTCTACGTCAAGTATAGTTAGTTCAAAAGTGTCGTTCATTTCTTGTTGTGAATTATTACTAAATTTGTTTATTGCTAAATTGTTATCCCATAATGTCGTTTTCAAAAGCCAGACTTCAAAGATTTAATGAATTTGAAAGTAAGTAAAGATATTCTTTTATTTATTGTTCTTAATAATTATTTTATCGTTGTTAATATCATTCCCTTTGTAATTTCTTGCTTTCTCAAATCTACTGTGAAATCTTTTTAAAATTCTCAACTGTTGTATGATCGCTCTTTACACAAAATATATTTCCGTGGGAAATAAGTCGGTGATCTTTCGAGAAATATAAAAGAACGTATTAACCTGTATATGTCGAGAAACTAACAATTTTTAATCGTTAGTAGATTCCATAAAATTATATCGTAATCTTAATTCTGTGCAATAGATATATGATTATCGTGTTTTTATATTTTATTGTCTTTCTCTTTTATGCACAAATTTTAGAAAATTAAAGTTGAAATATTGCCTAAATTATCCTTCATCGATGTGCATAGGTTAATATTTTTTTTTTTACGTATAGAGAATGTCGACCTCCGAAATCCTTCCGATCTACAAAAAGATCATAATTTCCGTATCATGGCCCCTTTTGTATTAAACAATTTTTCTTAACAAAGTTTTCTCATATTTTTAAAAACAACAGTTATTCAAGGTGACCGAAATTACATGTTTCACCATGAATTGTATTTATATTGGCTCTAAATGTTGAAAAAGATATTACAACTTTTTAGTTAATAATTACCAAAGTATTAAAAAATATCTTTGTATTTACACGTAAACGTATCTAAATAACCGATGATAGACGAAAGTAACAAACGATCGATCCTTCAACGATTGTAGAATTATTTAGTTGTTATTGATAATAACAGAAAAATATATTACTAAACTATTTTCAAATAAAAGAAAAGTAAAATGATAAAATAAAAAGAAACCATTTAATTTTTAAATGTTGCGTGCAAAAGTAAGAGTGCAGGGGGAAATAAAGGGCGGTATGATACAAGATTTCGTTACGGAGCCGTGAAAGAATGGATAATCAGGACGTTAGAGAGTACGCCTGGTAATTCGATGACCCCAGTGAGACATGTATCTTGCAACTAAAAACAGCTGTCTTTCATTTGCACCTTCTTTTCGCGTGTAAACTAACACTCACCGAAATAGGAATCCTTTTTACCAACGCTAGTTGTGTTCTTACCCCTTCTACTTTATATATATATAATGTGTATATATATATATACACACACACGCAATGTATATAAAATTAATTTCATTTTTAAATAATTATTTAATTGAGACAGCAGTGTTCTATAAGTTAACGAAGTCAAAAATTATTTTTATAAGCATTTAAATACTTTTATAAGTCATTGTACATGTACAAAAAATGAAACAGGAAAATACAAGTAAGAATATATAATTGACTATTCATTGATCATTGATCATTGAATATTATTTTTATATGAAATTATTTACAAAGCTATCAGAATGCCTTCTTTCTTTTCTTGATTCTAAAAAGAAAAATTTTTACAGATGATGTACCTCCACCAGGGGCATATGATCCAAACTTTGGTAGCAAGGTGAAAGGTTTTGTTATTGAAAAATCAGAAAGATTTCATGACAGCAAAAGTGTTGGTAGTGCAGAAGGCAATGTAACAATATGCAACAAACATGCAAATAATGTTGCAGCCAGTTTTAGAACAGTGAGAAATTGAAATCAATTGGATTTTAAAAACTTTGTATTAATTCTGTGCAAGATGTTGATCTGAGAGATACATGCAGAATCATTTCACTGTTGTTTGATTGTTAATGGCTAATTATTAACAGTAATTGTTAATTATACTGTCTCTCTCAGATATATCACAACTTCTACGGAATTAACGTACTATTGAAAAATTTATATGTATTCTTAGAGAATATTTTAATTTCAATAACAATGTGTATTGTTAGCCACAATTACCACGGAAACAAACTCCACATCAAACAAGATCAAGTTCGAAACTAAAACCACGTGCACTTATTGCTTCTAATGACCAAAAGTTAAAGTATAATACCGAGCATCAACTTGCTGATCTTCAAGTAGAATGTTTCAACAAAGACAAGACAATACGGGAACTGAAGAAACACATCGAGGACATGAAGGGGGAAGTGCAAAAATTGGAATTGCAACTCGAAGAATTACGCAAAAAACAAACGGACGTGGAAGAGCAACACCGAAAGGACATAGAAACAATGGTTTTAAAATATTTTTTAGCAAATTCAATTTCTTTTCCGAATATATAGAAATATTTTATTGATAATTTTTGCATCCAGGCTGCCATGCAACAAGAAATCTTAAACGATTACGACGAGAAGCATCAAATGGAAGCGAAGCATCTTCGTTGTCAGCTTTCAGAAGTCTTGGAAGAAAAAGAACGCGAAATTCAAGCAAGAAAAACTATAGAAGGTGACCTCAGAAATCGTATCGCGGATTTCTCTAAAAGAATAGTTGCATTAGAATCTGAGTTAATAAACAGTAAACATACAAACAACATTGAAAGAGTAAGTATACATTAATTTTAAAGAATTAAAGAATTAAAGTAATTGAAAGTACGACAACTTTGTATCAACCTTTGAAATTTTTATGTGTAGATTCAATTTCTCGAAATACAAATCGAAGAACAGAGGACAAAATTAGAAGAGATAACAATGAATCACAAACGTGAAGTTGATTTATTGGAGCAGGAGAAGTCTAAACTTAATTCATATGTTGATAATTTAACGAATGAACGTGACAAATTAGAGCTAAAATTGCAAAAACGACAAGATGTAATTCTTGAACTACAAGGACAATTATCCACTCTTCAATGTGAATTAGACGAACTAAAAGCTGAATATGAAAAAGTTATTGAAACTTCTTCGAAACAAATGGACGATCTTAAATATAAATATGAAAAGGAAACTGATCAATTGAAACTCGATTTTGAAAAAGAGAAAATGATTCTTGTCAATGAAAACCAATTTGAAATATCGCGCAGGATAGAAATTGAAGCCAAAGTAAAAGATATTGACCAACAAAATAATTTTCTTAGAGAAGAACTGGCAAATGTTCAAAAACTTTCGAAAGATGTAAGTATTGAAATTTCTAACTGTTTAAATAATAAAAGAAATTGTTATCTGATTTCTTACTTGAATGTAGGTTAATAATCGTTTACACAAGGCACATGAAGAATTAGAGGAATCGGAGAGAAAACATATCCTTGTTTTGAAGAAACACCAGGAGGAATTAGCTGATGTAATGAAACTTCACGATGAAGAAAAATATAAACTGAAGCAACAATTGGAGAGTGCAAGAGTGGATTATATAAGAGAGATAGAAAATGTACGGACATACAACATTTGTGTACATTGCACGCTTTGTTACATAATAATTTTTCTGTGAAATAACACGTATTAATTTCTTGTATAGCTAACAATAGCGAGAGACAAAGAAATAGCGGAAGTAAAAGAAACAGCGACTAAAAAAAGTGAAGAAGAAATCAAACGAGTTAAACAGTATGCCGATAAAATAGTAGCAAATGCAGAAGCTGTTACTAGAGAAACATTAGCAGCTTGCCGTACCGAATGCGAAGAAAGAGTAAAAAGGGTGATCGCTGATAGCGACGCGAAAGTAAGCGGGTCACACGTGCGTAAAATGAAAAACATCACTGACTGCGTTCTCTTTTCTGATGTTTCAATAAAAATTCTTTTTTACCATATCAAGAAGAATAAAAAAAAAAAAGAATTTTTATTGTAAACATTATTCCTTTTTCAAAGCTTTTTTTTTCGAGTATCCTATTTTCCAGTTTCTGTGATGTTTGACCTGTGCTCTTCTGCAAGAGCATTTCCATACAATTTTTAAAGTTAATTTATTAATTTAGATAAACGCTATGATCAGAGAGGCAAAGATTACTGTGGAGGAAGAAATGCGACTCACTGCGGAAAGATATAAAGCATGTTTAGCGCGCGTAGAAATGGAACGAACGGCGTTAGATGAAAAATTGGCGCATAAAGATGCCGAAATTAATAGACTTTCTGCGACTCTTAAAGAATTAAAGAATTCGGCAGAAACACAGGTAAGTGCACAATGTATATAGTCGAAAACAAAAATATTTCAGTCTAATGTAAATATATAATACATTTTATTTAAAGTATTACTTTGTACTAATTAATTAAACAAATTTAGGAAAGTTTCAGTCAGAGTTTACAAATAGAATTGGATAGAGCAGAAACTGAATTGGCAGAAAAGAGAGAGGAATTACGAGCTCTGAAAGATCAAATTCGAACCGAGGCGGCAGAAATGGTGATTAGACGAAAGAGGTATGTCATTTTTTACAGAAAGGAATATATATATGTGTGTGTGCGCGTGCGCGTGTGTATGTACACGTACAAAATTTTGTTTAGATTCGAAGTTGTAATGGCTGAAAATCAAGCCTCAGTTGCTGCATTAACTAAACGTTTGGCCCAAAGTAATGCTGAAGTGGAAAGATTGCAGCATGAATTGAAACGAGGTGAAGATTGTATTGGCGAGCATCGTGATTTATTGAGTATTATGCGCAACAATTCCAAAATAGTACATGAACAGGTGCGCGTTTTGATGGAACAATTAGACATTAAAAAAGGATTGGTTGATCAACTTGAAGCTGAAAGTGTGAGCGAAATGGAATCATTAAAATCTGTATTCGAGGCTAAGATCGATGATTTCAAGAATATAGCAGCTAAAAAAGTTGCGAAATTACAAGCCGAAAATGATGTAAAGACTGCTGAAAATGTTGAGGTACTATTTTTTCTTTCTACTTTCAAATGCAAAGATGTAAAAAAAATTTGATTTGATAAAATATTGCTTAAAAATTAGATAATTATTTAAACTTTAAATTTTCCAAGTTAATTAAATCGTCATTTCATTAAAAAATCTTAGATGAAAAACCAACTTGAAAAAATGGCTAATCATCTCACTGAAGCACAAAGTATACTTCTTGAATTGGAAGAGAGAAACGATGCTCAAGAACTTGAAATTTCGCGAGTGGTAATGCTAAACGCCAAACTTAACGCACAGTTGAAACAACATGAAACAACAATAGAAGACTTGAATAAATTGCTACAACATCAATCGCAAGCTCATAAAGTTAGCTTAAATGAAGTATGTTTTCAAAATTGCTGTATTAATGTTTCCTTTCCGCGTGACAAAATATATAAATTGACTATTTTTATTATGCTTACAGGCAAATTTGAAAATAGAAGAACTTTCTGTTAAAATTAAATGTCATGAAGAAGAAGAAAGTCATATTCAGGTAACTGATAATGTAATTTTATTTTATGTTGTATATATTAAATAATAAGGAGAATTTTTTTTTATCTATATTAAATGTATATCTCGTGTCATAAATGTATATCTCGTGTCATAAATGTATTCATTCAAATGTATTGTTTCTATGTAGAAAAATGTTGAATTATTTGAAGAGGAACGAAAGAACTGGGAAAGTTTTGAAAAAGAAATTATGGAAAAGCTCGAGGAAGAAAAAGCTCGTCGAGAAGCAGCCGAAAAGTATGTTGTTTTCTCCTTTAAAGAGAAGAGTAATTTATCTTTGAAAGCTATAAAGTAGTGAGGTGATAAATTTATTTTTATCTGTTTAGGGAAATGGAAAATCTTTCCAAATATAATGAGCAACTTTTAAAAGATTATCAAGAGATTCATGAAAAATATGCTGAAGTTGTTGGTCATCATAATCACAGGCAAAGAATTAAGCATGTATCTCAGCTTAAAGATAAAATCAATCAACTCGAACAGGTGCATTTAACTATTTATTTCGGAATTAATCATTTTGTATTGCATGTTGAATTTTCTTATTACAACAGTAAGACTACTTAGTTAGATTATTATCATTTGATTATAATCTAAAAAATATAAATGTTTTTTAGGATGTATATGCGAAAACGAGGACAATAACACAGCTACAAAAAGTTGTAGAAAAATTTAAAGCAGAGGAGAAGCGCACGCACAGTAAAGGAAAAGAAAATACAGAAGTGTCACAGAGTAATCTTACAACACTTGTTCCTTCTCCACATAAATCATTAACGCCATTAAAAGATCGAAATTAATTGAATTAATGTTGATATATTATTAACGTATTACTCATTCATCGTTTTATTATAAATGCGATTTGATAATAATTTAATTCATATACTAAAAACTCATGCACTAATCTTCCCATGCACACATGTAATTGTATTACAATTATTTATTGATGCAATAATTATTAATTTGCATTTATGATAATTATAAGAAAAATAGAATTTATAAATGAAAAATAGCAGAACCTAGCAAACGGAACATTTAACCTCGCAAAAAGTGCATTTATGATAATTATAAAAAAAAAAAAAATAGAATTTATGAATGAAAAATAGCAGAACCTAGCAAACGAAACATTTAACCTCGCAAAAAGTGTTAGATTTGATAGAAGTTACATTTAAGTTGGATTTAAGAATTGTGTTCGATTGTTTTCGACTTGTATCAAAAGTGTTAGATTTGATAGAAGTTACGTTGAAGTTTAGATTTAACAATGTTAATTTTATAAAAAAAGAAACAGTTGATCGTATACCGATTCAAAATGAATTGACTCTTAATGAATAAAAATGAATAATGACTCTTGTTAAATTTTTTAGACTTAGAATCATAAATTTATAAAATTAACAAATTTAAAAGTTTTTTATCAAATCTAATATATGGGTATACAAGGTGATTTATTCTGTTTGTTAGGTTCTGCTAAAGATATGTTTAGTAATAAAATTTTACAAAATTGACGAAAGATCGACGTTAAAAGAAAAGAAAAAAAGACTTGATTTTTTAAAATATAATAGACGTTTTTCTCTGATATTTGAACATATCTAGAGTTAGAGAAATTTTATTTGTAATAAATATTTATTTGTGAATTTATTTGTAATAAATAGTTATTTGTGATGATTAATGTGTTGAATTTTTAAGAAGTGACATTAAACTCATCACAAATGAGCGAGTACTCTATATATTATTTTAGATGAAATATGTAAACGACAATTACAAATATATTTTGCGTTTATTTTTTTTATGCAAAATACGGCCATTTTGTCTGAAAATTAGTCGAGTCCTATTCGTGCCTCTACTTTCACCAAATTAATTGATGGCAATTAATTAATTGCGCGATGGTTTTGTAAATATTAGAAAACGTATCATGTTACACTTTGGACGTTTATTAACTATGTTTATTTACTATATATTATACTATATATTTACTATATATTATTTTCATCGTCATATTTTTATTATCCGTGTTATTGTAGACTTAAACCTGGATATCCATCATTGCCTTCCTTATTTTTATCTTACAATCGTTGGAACGCCATAGTCGATGAGCATTTGAGATGTATCCAACGTTCTGAATTCCTCTCGTTTCATTCTCAGATCCGGCGTAATTCCTTTCCGTTCATTTGTTGTCATTTGTTGAAGGCTCAAAGTTTTATCGGTTGTCGCGTCAGATGTCATCTAGTTTTCTTTCTATGACAGATGACAGTTTTACTCCTATGTTACAACCCCGCTACCGTTCACTATTTCCTCCCCTCGACGCGACGTGGCATAGCGTTGGGCTTGTTCCTCTAATTTTAAGTGTACAGGCAACATGCCAGTAATAACGCATAATGCGTCCAAAGACACCGTTCGATGTATAGCGGCTACTTTAGTTAACATCATTTTCTGAGAATTTCTCAAGCTTTTTTGTAGCAGTTTAGCGCTCCCATGCTCACAGGGAAGTCTCGTTCTAGCTTCCTAGTTTGCCAACTCCAGAAGTTTGATCATTCTTCGACAAAATCTAATGGCTAGTAGCCATTATTATTATTATTATTGTTGTTGTTGTTGTTGTTATTATTATTATTGTTGTTATTATTATTGTTGTTGTTATTATTATTATTATTATTATTATTATTATTACTTTATTTCAATAGCTCTCTGACAAATATGGTCGCGGCGTGATTTTGTTACGTGATCTTTTTACATTGTCAGTGTGTCAAATATTTTACCAGAAATAGTAACAATTATCACCTTGGTCGTGATGATCCCTGATCTGGCTAATTCATACCCATCTTTATTGTATCCAAAGCGTAATGTTCGATGAAAAGAGTTGGATCGTCCGATGAACCGATAATCAAGACAATCCACACAGTGGAGCATTTGTGGGAGAAACGTTACTTCCCGGGCTTATACTCCATACCACTCGTAACCCATATTCTATACTATTCTCATCCTTGTTGCTCCTGATATCCAGTTAGTCTAGGACTTTATAACATTCTGATATCACGAAAACAGCCGAAGCAGTTCAGTAGAGAAGTACGAAAAGACATCCGTTCAAAATTTGGAAAAATTTCGTATCTTTTGTACGTTTCTTGACGGTTCTTTTTATGGCCGTCCAGATATTGGTATTTTACCACAAGTGGGACATCTAACAGATGATGCCGGCATAGCGCATTCTTTCCTCTTTTCCATACAAACGCGGCACTAGGACGCAATTTCACACGTTGTCACATCGTGGCCACGCACCTACGTCCTTAATCATTATTCTTAATATTTCACGCCGTGTAAAACTGTCAAGTACAAATCGTAATATATACCACAAGTAATACCACAAGTAATACGTGGAAATATGGAATTTACATTCTACGAAATTAACAGTTCTTTCCTATTGCTTGATATGATTCCCCTGCTTGCTTGATGGGTCCCAATTTGAAAAGGTAAAAGTAGAACAAATGCGTAATTATTTTATAACGTATAAATGTTGCGCTATAAAACTGAAAACACAAACTTTATTCCTACAGCTGATACAATGGCCACTATGTAATGGTCCATGTATCGTGTCGACAAGTTTGTTTCGGAGAGACGTCGTTCGTTCAAAGATGACGTTGGCGAATCCATCGACACCGATCATCGTTGAGACAAACGTCCGAGATCAGGCAGATCATCGCACGGCATAAAAACGGAATGTCCACTTGAGTTTTCGCGGGTTTGCCCAACGTCGAACGTGCTTCTTTCTCTCGGTATCGCAGCGCGCTTTCGACGTCGCGCCTCCAACTCCAACGCTCGAACATTTCGGGTTTGGTGTTTCTATTCCTGGAGCGGGTTGACTCCTCGCTCGGCTCCTACGGGAGGTGCTATGCCCTGGCTAGCAAACACGAGCAGTCGACCGGAGTCGTGCCGGATCTAACGTGTTTTTACGTGGCGTGTGAAAGCAGTGCGCGCGTGCAAACCATTATTAAGCATCTTCTTAAATCAAAACCGATCGTTCGTTCGTTCGTTCGTTCGTTCGTTCGTTCGTTCGTTCGTCGGAACGAGGACCTCCGGGACAGGGACTCTGTAAACAGAAAGAGTACGGTAATTCAATGGTAATTCCCAATGGTTCTTTCTCTGAAAGAAACTCGGAATTGCGGATATGTTGTAAGTTGTAATACGGTGCGCCCTTTGACACATTCTCATTCGTGACAGTTTTTCAAAAAATTTCACACCCTTCGCCGAGAGCTGTTTCGTCTCTTAGACAGCGCGAGCGAATGCCTTTGTGTTGAGGAGAAAGATTGAAGGAGGAAAGCCGGAGAGATCGTGTTGGCCGGTTCCTGACGCGTCGGTGAAGATTTTTCAATCACCCCGATTACTATTTTCGGGTTTGAGCTCAGTACGATATATATATATATATATATTTATTTATTTATTTATTTATTAGCGTTGCGACACCACGCGTCTGAATCGATTGCATTTGACGTTCGTTCATCGAGAACGATGGCTCTTCTCCGCCGTGTGGGACGCCATGGTTGTGCGATTCGGGGCTACGGATGGTGTGCACGTATTCCCCCGTCGCATCGCGGGGGAATAACCCCGGGTTCTCCGTGAACTCGGGACGAAACGAAAGTTTGTAAGTTCGATGTTCCCCTATCGACGAATGTGCAAGTTTGCGAGGCAGTTGTTTTACACTGGCAGAAAGAACATTGACACAACGAATGTTTTTATTTAGGTTTAACACGAACGAAAAGCAAGGAAATGCCAGAGAGGAAACTAAATCTTTCTTAGATCAGAGACAAAGATCGCTAGATTCGAGTTGAAATTTCGTTTTAAATTTTCGTTGATCGTTGTTGATTTGCCACCATGCAGTAATCAAATCGAATCGAATCGATTATGCGTAGCGAAACAAGTGGCGCGGTTTTTTGCTTGGCACGTGTTGAAATTGAACGTGCGTACGTTTTGTCTCGGCCGGCTGTTCTCAATTAGTTTTACACTTTCCGAGAAATTTGCAAGAGCACGATTCCCGGGAACGTGGTTCGTTTCGTATTTACGTTTTAAGAAAAGCTCGAGACAAAACACCGAGAGTTACGATCGGCCAAGTTTCCATCGTGTAGTACAAAAGCATTGGATTGGAATGATGACAAATTCTTCGATATTTCATATTTAATATTTGGTATTAGCAGCTTTCCTATTGTTTAAAAAGTCAAATTTACGAAATTTACACTTTTTAAACGAGATTATATATCAGTAGCTCGAAATCAAATATACATATATATATATATATATGTTTTTTTAAATCGTACATTTGGTTAAAGAAAAATCACATCGACGTTGGACGATCTCTGAGAGACTCTGTTGGCATTAAGATTAGAAATAATTCGCTACAGATCGAGGCTAAGTTCCCACGTGTTCCAACCATTTAAATTTATTAACGTGCACCGTAAAATGGGTTCGTTGAACGATACGAGAAACATTTGGATCGCTGATCCTCGAAATCGTTTCAACTTAAACCGTTCTAATTTCGTTGACACCTAACATTAGAAAAATTTCATACATCGTCGGGAGTTTTTGTTTTCAATATCACCTACACACGTTACGCACGCTATCGTCAATCAAAAGTTTGCCCATTTTTTTATGACATTTTAACGTCAGATCTCAACTTCTACAAATCGACGAAAGCTCTCTCGTCGTTCGCAGGCCTGATTTGTTAAAAAAATTGTAAATGGTGAACAAAGAACGTGCTTTCACAATGATAACTAAACGTTACGGTGTAAATTGTGCGGTGCAAATCGTCTTTAAAACATGGATATATCTGTGACGACCATTGTATCACTATACCCAATGAATTATCGTGACAACTTTCCTACGTACAACTCGAACATCGATTAAAACAAGCGTCCTTATCAAGAAAAAGAAGAGGGAAACACACACATATACACGCACAAGCAAGAATAATGAATACCTTGAATGAACATTTGAATAAAGACTCGTCTAGACGTCCACCTTGTTCGAAGAGTAACGCATTTACCAAATCAAACGATAAAACTCTGTGAAAATGCTACGAGCGTAAGAAGAGTAAGAAGAGTAAGAAGAATGCGGGACAGGGAACCAACGACGGCAGAGGATCCGATCGACTCAAAGGATCCTAAGCCGCGTGGCGATTCCTCTCGAAGGAAACGCGAATGAACTCTCCTTCTTTCTCAAAGCGCTCAAATACCTGAATCCACTGGCATCGGATCGACGTCAAACAGCGTTGCACGAGGCTAGGCGATTCAGGAGAAGGAATTTCGAAGAAGAAAAAAAGAAAATCTTTGAACCTCCCTCTCGACTTTGTGCGTTGGAGAGAAAGCGAGCTTTAAACAGACTCGCGAGGTCGCATCTTCGATCCATCTTGGTCAAGTTGGAAGAAGAAGAGAAGAAGAAGAAGAAGAAGAAGAAGAAGAAGAAGAAGAAGAAGAAGAAGAAGAAGAAGAGGAGGAGGAGGAGGAGGAGGAGGAGGAGGAGGAGGAGGAGGACCGGGAATACAGAGAGATCAAAGGGGTTGAAAGACAGCGAGGAGGATGATGTTAGTGATCTCAGTGATCGTCGTTTGACGAGAAAACGAGCGGAGAAACTTTCCTCGGTTTCTTCAGCCGTTCAAAATGCTGGACATATTTCGAGGCCTAAAGAGCCTTATCAAGATCTCTCACGTACACATCGACACGGCCGTGTTCCGGCTGCATTACAGTTTAACCGTGATCCTTCTCATCTCGTTTTCGTTGATCGTGACTACGAGACAATACGTTGGCAATCCGATCGACTGCATTCACAGCAAAGATCTACCGGAGGACGTGTTGAACACGTACTGTTGGATACACAGTACGTACACGATCACTGCGGCTTACAAGAAACGAGAGGGTTTCGAGGTACCGTTTCTCGGGGTGGACAATTCCAAGTCGCATCCGGAGACAGAGAGGAAGGAGTACAGATACTATCAGTGGGTCTGCTTCATGCTGTTTCTCCAGGTAATCGATCGAAATTCTTTTTTCCCCTTTTATCTGTGTGTGTGTGTGTGTGTCTACGTTTCGCTCTCTTCATTCACATCTTTTTCGTTTACGCGCTTGCCGGCGCTTCTCGAGACAGAGGAGAAATATCTCGTTCGAAAAAATTCGAGTAAACGAATTTCACCCAATTCGTAGAAACAATAATAAACAGATAAAACAGCTCGATGGAATTTGAAAGATGGCTAGGGCCGAATCTACGAGTGGAAAGGCGATCGATTCCTTCCTTGGATACCTGGGATTATAGGCGACGGCGATGTACGACGAGGAAAATTCGGCAATGAGAAAAGCCGGATAACGAACGAACTGGTTGCGGCTACGCTCGAGGAATTTACCCGCTGCTTACAGAAGCTTATATTTAGTTCATTGCCAAGAAAGAAACCCTAAGCATATTAACTCGTTAAACCCCTAACCGTTGCCTCGTCACCGAGGGTCGCTGTCGCGTGAGTCGCCTTGACGCTCGGTCAAAGACGCTCCTCCACCCTCGCCTTTTAACTGATCTCTTCAACTGGAACATGTTGTTGGACGGAATTAAACAGCCTTTCCGTTCCGTTCGATATTCCGACCGATATTACGCGTGAACGCACAACCAATTTTCCAATTTCCAATTTCCAACACGGCGAGTCGCAAACTCAAATTCAGTCGAGTCATGCAACATTGAAGATTGAAGAGGGTTAAAAACCTCTTTCGTACCGATGCAGTAAGTCCAAAAGAGACAAAACCACCTCCTCCTCCTCCTCCTCCTTCTATAATCGCATTTTGGAATTTTTTTGTCCGCAGAAGGCTGCGTTTCATCGATTGAGACAAGTGAAAGTATACCGTAGGAAGAATCCTATTTATATATGCAAAATATCTTTTCTTACATAAACAGATTATGCCATTATTGCTGTTGTAAGATTTCTGAACAATCCTCTCCTTTCTATCTTTCTTTTCACTTCCTTTCTCGGGGTCCTCCTCCCCATCGATGTATCCATTCCTAAAGAAGAAGTCTGTTGCCGCTGTCTTCTCTCTGGGACAACGGACGCGTGTGCTTAGATACCGATACGCGACACATACTGCCATCTAAAAATATCCCGACACTCGCTCGCTTTCTACAAGATATACGATATATATACTTTACAGCACATAATTACAGATACGATAAATTACGGATATGAATCGAGGATAATTTTAATTAAAGTAATCAGATGCAAGTAAGTCTTTTAGAGAAATTAGTCAGGTTGGAAAGATCCTCCTGCGCGAGGTTTTTCTTCCTCGCGTTTTCACGAAACCGAACGAAGAAGACAGATTCGATCGACAGATGGTTCGCGGTGCCCTTGTTCGAACAGAAGGGACCAGTTCTATAATTAATTATTGGAACATGGAACAAGTCCAAATCCCGAAACTGTGAGACAATTAAAATTACTTCCAGTAACATTCGAATATGATCCAACTCGAGCGATGCAGTCTAATTATAGAGCGACAATGACCCGAATGTTTCGTCTTCTTTTTTACTCCCATGCCTCTGGATGTTTTCTTTTTACGACAAGTATCTTTGGCCGGAAGCCAATTCGCGTAATAATCGCGATATCGGTATTATCATTATTATTATTATTATTATTATTATTATTATTATTATTATTATTATTATTATTATTATCATTATCATTATCATCCTCAAACGAGGTGACATTCTTTCCCCATTTCCTAATAAACTGCAAACATGTCGGAAACTCTTCGAAAACCTCTGACTTTGTTCATTTGCTTCTGTTCATTTGAACATTTTATACCTGTCGCTCGCAAAACTCGCGGCCGATTGCAATTGTAAAACATATAATTATTAATTCGAAGAAAACATGAAACTCGCGAAAAAGCAAACAGTAGTGTGGGAGAGGTAGGGCAGAGAGGGCGAATTAAAAATTCACAAAGCAACAAACAATAAAAATCGTTCGTTTCTATTCTCGTTTTATAGATGTTAGAGAATCGATAAAGTTCTAAGAGGTCTATTCGCTACTTGTTTTGAAAGCAGAAACGAGTAGCAGAACGAGAGGAAGACCGTGTGTTTTCAAAGGATGATGAAAGATCAATCGATCGCTTCGGCGTGCTTAGAATCTCACGATATCTTCTTCGTGAATGGAAAGCTGGACAACTTTAATACACTTTAATACGTTTGTAAGTGATGGCAGTAGTAGTTCGTTTCGTCGACCTCGAAATTCCTCGAAAGGAGATAAAATTCGAAAAGGAGAAGAGAAAGATAAATTTCTCGAAACTGACGCACGAACGAAACGATTCAATGGACAGCAAAGTGTGAAACGAGAGGTCGTTTCGACGAGAAAGAGAAGAGAGAGAAGAAAAAAGAAAAAAGAAAAAGAAAAGACGAGGGGGAAATTCAATTTTCAGGGGAGAAAGATAAAAATATAGAAAAAGTAAAGGCAAAACACTGACTTGAGAACAAGAGCGCCGCAGCGCGAAGAACGTTGTGTTGTACGTGGCAGTACGGTACAACTTCATTGACGAGACAAGAGAAAGATACATAGGAGATCATACAAGTATAAGTTATGTGTTTAGCATCGAGGCCAAGGGATGCCTCTCAAGTTCGGCCAGTCTTCGAACGGCTTGCTTCCGCGCCCCACGTGTGTTTGTCACCGTGTCCGAATACTCGTTCCGTCCTTTCGTTTCGATTGCCCCTTTTTTCTCTCCATTTCCGATCGATCCGTCTCGATCCTCGAAACACATTCGATTATCCTTTCGAGAGAACGAAATCAGTGCCGCGTTGGTTCTGTGTCACGAGTTACGATCGCCAATTGCGAATTGCGAGCGAGAGAGAGAGAGAGAGAGAGAGAGAGAGAGAGAGAGAGAGAGAGGTTGTTGCTGGACGAGTAACAGACGGAAAGAACGAGAAAAATGAGAAAAATTGGAAGAATAGAATTTTAGCGTAGAAGCGACTCGACTGCTTCGTGAAAGGAAGAGAGGAGAGAGAGAGAGAGAGAGAGAGAGAGAGAGAGAGAGAGAGAGAGAGAGAGAGAGAGGAGAAAAACGAGAAAAACAGAGATGAGTCTTCCGAGAATAATCACGAGGAACGTGACGAAGAAAATGACACGGGCCCGCGACGACAAGTATCATCGTTTCTCCACACTTTTCTTACTTTCCGTCAAAGATTCCCGAGGTACACGAAGGTACAGGAATATTTCCGACGCTCAGATCAGATCGATTTAATACACCAAAGATTACGCAACGTACTCCGGGGAAAATATTTACGCCAATCTCTCAAAAATTCTCAAATCAACGATTATCCTGGTTACGACTTACGAGAAGAAGAGAAAAAAAGAAGGAAGAAATTCCCCGACCGACAATTATGGAACTCGAAGAACTCTCCAAGAACCAGACAATTACTTGACTCTCGATTCGATTCGATTCGATTCTGCTCGATCGAAGAACAAAGATCCTCCAGTTGCAAATGGAGATTCGAGGAAGCGTTGTAGCGTGAAATCTTCGTCCGCGAGAAATAACAAGAAGTATTTCTCAAAGACTTGGAAAGAAAGTCGAAAGGGTTGAGAGGGTTGAAGGATCAAGTAAGAAACACGGATCTGCTAAACAAGGAGGAGGACGAGGAGGCACCTTTAGTCTCGGAATCGGTCGGCCGCCTAGAACGCAGAAAAATGCCTCTGATGTTGAAGATGATCGACGTGTTCGGCTCGTTGAGGTCCCTGTTCAAAGTTCAGCGGATCTCCGAGGACACGATGATATTTCGGCTGCACTATCGCGCAACGGTGGCACTTTTGCTCGGCGGGTGCGTGACGCTGGCGTGCAAGAGCATCTCCGGCTCGCCAATTCACTGCGAGGCCTCCGGCTCCGTGGATAAAGTTGTCTTGGAGACTTTCTGCTGGCTTCACACCACCTACAGCATGGTGCACGCGTTCAACATGAGCCTGGGACAGGCGGTGCCCTATCCCGGCGTTTCCAACAGCAAAGGGGAAGGGATGCACGGCCACGCGTCCCATCCGTTGGTCAAACAGCACAAGTATTATCAGTGGGTCATCTTCTTTCTGCTGCTGCAAGTATGAAAACTGCAAGTTGTTCTTCTCTCTGTCATTACGATTAGAAATCTGCAGCCGAGCACCCTCACCCTCACCCTCACCCTCACCGTCGCAATTAAATTAAAGAATTACAATAATATTGAAATCATCCTCACGCGATTCACAAAGAACGGGTGTTCATCCGTACCTGTTCATCCGTAAGCTCCGTAAATAAATTCGACTCGCCCGCACGACCGAACAATGGCAACGCGCTGTTGTTCTTTTAACAAATCGTTTCCTGGCAACTGTTACACCTCGAGCTCCAACTCGAACCAAGTATATTTTCTTTTCGAGAACCCATTAAACGGAACAATAGCGATTTTCTGGATTTCGAGTCAAACAGAATCATCTCGTTTCGAGGGGAACGGAACGCACATACGTTCATTCAACGCAAACGTACGTGTCAATCATCATATGTAGTCCTCCAAGTAGTTTGCGATCGTTTACAAATACAAAGATAATGCAAACGAGAAGAGATCTTTTCGTGCCTGCTGCAATCCTAATTACAGAAAAAAAAAAAAAAAAAAATAGAACAGTCAGCAAATCGAAAGTGTCAGATCTCTGCAATGGTAATCGAATTATTAAATTACGGTCATTCCTCCCTCCCAGGAGCCTTTTTTATCCACACATCTTTGGATAATATCTTTGGTTTCGATTCAACCCCTATTCGACGATGCATTTTCTCGGATAATTATCGTCTATTTATTAGGATAAATATTTATTTTATCGAATAAACGAGTCCAACAACTCTCGTTCGTTGAAACGACTCGCGAACCAAGAGCGAAACTCTGACTATCCAAAGTACGTACTTGGTTTCGTCGGTTCTTACAGGTCCGCGCACGTGGGGCAAATTTACTTTAATCGTAACCGCGACTGAAACTTTTTACGACCCTCGTTTAATGGAATTCCGCGGCCGTCGGCTCGCTAAACAAATGAATCGTTCTCTTAGATAAACGGCAATTAATCAATTCGCCAGCCGAAAACAATGCTCCCGTTTATTACGATTTTATCGTTCCCAAGTACGCGGCTAATTTGATATCTTTAGGCGCGTGCCAACGTGCTTTGAGAACAGTGTGATGTACAACGTTGATGATCCATAGCTGATCGAGATCTTTGTGGCTGCCAATCGACAAAGCAGTTCGGTCTGTTACGTTACGGCACAAGTGGAATCGTTGGTTGATTTATTCTCAATTCCGGTGTCGAGCGGATCGAACGAAACAATCTTTTCATTCCAATCTTCTCGTCCAAGCTCCTCGTCGACGACCGGTTGCCAATCGTTTCTCTCAATTAGGAGCATTTTTTAGCCAACACCTGCACCGGTTGGACTGCTTGTATATAATATATTCGTCTATGTCTTCTCGCAAGTCTCTTTTCGTTTCCAAAGATCGAGAGGGAATCACTCGTAGGAAATCTCGCGAGCAACCAACAGAACCACCCAAAGTCTAAAAACGCGATGATCGCGTTAAAACGGTGGACGATTCTCTTCTTTCCAGGCGATTCTCTTCTACACGCCTCGGTGGCTGTGGAAAGGATGGGAGGGTGGCAAGATTCACGCTTTGATGATGGATCTCGACATCGGCCTCTGTTCGGAGGTGGAGAAGAAACAGAAGAAGAAAATGTTGCTCGACTATCTGTGGGAGAATCTTCGATTTCACAATTGGTGGGCTTACAGGTACTACCTCTGCGAAGTTCTTGCCCTGCTGAATGTGATCGGTGAGTCGCACGTTCCTTTCTCTCCTCTGCCATTTCTTTTTTTTCGTTTTTCTTTTTTTTTTTTTTTTTTTTTTTTTTTTTTTTTTTTTTCCTCTTTAAATTTTAAATTT